AAAGAGGGAGGAAGGGGGGGGGGAGAGAGAGAGAGAGAGAGAGAGAGAGAGAGAGAGAGAGAGAGAGAGAGAGAGGTGTTTGACATAGAGGCAGGGGTAGAGTAAAGGTGGGGTGTCATGGGAAACTGTGGACACTGATGGCAGTGGGAAATGTGCACCAGTGAAGGGATTGGTATTGAAACATTCTAAGACTGAAACTCAATCATGAACAACTTTGTAACTGTGTATCTTATGGTAATTCAACGAATAATAATAAAAAAAAAGCATAAAGAAAAAAATTTAAAGCTATTGGAGGCAGCTGCAGACCCCCAAAGAAATAGCAGTCATGCACTGCAGGTCATCAAAAATGGAGATAATGAGATAAGGGAAATAGATAAGCAGATGCCATATGTAGGAAAACAGAAATTACGTGATTTGTATCCCATCCAGAGAATCTTTCTATTAAGTCAGAAAGAAGATTCTGGAGACAGGGAAAACGGGCACTGTGACACGGCTTCCAAAGAGAAACAATTTGGTCCAATGCAAAGAATTACATGAAGTTTCCCACACAGAAGAGATGCTTAACAATGTTACTGAAAACTATCTTCCCTGGGAAGGGGCCAAACAGGACAAGCCATGCTATGTGCTAACAGACCTAGTGAGATCCTGGGCCTCCTCTCCTGGCACCACCTATTCAGCACCCAGGAACTAACCCAGGAGGACTGGCAGCTGGATGTCACACAAATGCCTCCACGCTGCAGGTACAGATGTTTACTGGTTCTGAGGCTGGAGCACTAGTACTGTGGGTAGGGCAGTTGCCTTGCACGCGGCCAACCTGGGTTCAATACCTGGCATCCCATATGGTTCCCCCCCCACCCCCACCTCGGTCAGGAGTAATTCCTGAGTGCAGAGCAGGAGAAACCCCTGAGCCTGGTTCAAAAGCAAACAATAAAAAAAAAAAACCCAAATATTTTTATTGGTTCTTCCTGACACCTGACACTTGGTGGGTAGAAGCATTCCTGTACTGAAGAAGCCAGAGAAGTATGAAGTGTGACTGAGGAAATAATTCCTCCATTTGGATCATCCAGGTCACCACAGAGGGACAAAAGAATGCTCTCACTAATAAAGTCACTCAGGACTTAAAGGCTACCAACGCCCCACAGGCTGGCACTCCCTAGCAACAGGAAAGGTGGGGGTCATTTAATAACACCCTAAAAAGAGTATTACGGAAATTATGTCAAGAAATGTCTCTGTGGGGGGGTATGGTGCCGCCAGTAGGTCAATCTGTACCTGTGAGGTAAGTGCATCAGCAGCCTCATGGCACCTTCAGACTTCCAGATACCCCAAAATTGCTGCTGTACTTTGGCCAGATCCCAAAAACTTGGGGAATAGTTTACCAAGAAAGTAAATGGCCAAAAGTTAGGTATGTGGGGAACACCCCCACAAACCACATCCAGCTCAGCTATATAATTGGAGGCATGGCCTCTCTGGTTCCTGATTGAACTGCTTAATGGCCACGATTCCAGAGACTCAGAAAGGAATCTCGAAACCCAGCAGCTTTTGGCAGAAATGCGTCCAGTCCCTGCAGTAGGTTACCGGTACTGGGCCAACCCAGGTGGGAATAGGTCTCATGCCTTGGCCTGTTCCCCCGGGGGCCTGGTGGCCGCCATCCTCCAGAGGCCACTGGACAGTCAGGTTTGGGCCTGCAGTGACGAGACACGCAGGGCCTCATGGGATGGAGGTGGAGCTGGTCCTGTCCTCCCCACCCCAATGAGACCCCAAGTCATCGCCCACAAACGGCCTCTCTGGCTCCTGATCAAGCTGCTTAACGGCCATGATTCCAGAAACTCAGAAACAAATCTTGAAACCCAGTGGCTTTTGGCAGAAATGTATCCAGACCCCACAGTAGGTTACTGTCACCAGGCCACCCCAGGGGGGAAAGGGTGTTGTCACTCTGCATGCTCCCCCTTGGTGGCCCTGGTGGCCGCCATCCTCCAGAGGCCATTGGACAGTCAGGCTTGGGCCTGCAGTGATGAAACTTGTTGGGCCTCACGGGATGGGGGTGGAGCCAGTCCTGTCCTCCCCACCCCAACGAGATCCCAAGTCATTCCCATGAACGGCCTTTCTGTCTCCTGATTAAGCTGCTTAATGGCCATGATCCCAGAGACTCAGGAGCAAATCTTGGAACCCAGCAGGTTTTGGCAGAAATCCCTCCAGATTTAAGTGTAAAATTTCAGAATTTCAAAATCGTGCAGCCACTACTGCAGCCACGCGACATCATATGTTATTCATAACCAGGAATAGAAAACAAATTGTCTACTGTTGCCTTTTCAGCAGATCTGAGTGTTGGGGTAAAATCTCAAATAATAATGGTGGGTCTGGTGTCAAAATATTGAAGGTGATCAAAGTAGAGATAGAGTAATGTGGAAATCATCTGCCCCACAGGTAAGGGGAGGGTGTGGGATGAGGGTATACTGGGGTTGTTTGGGGGTGGAGAATGGGCACTGGTGAAGGTACGGGTGTTTCATTGTATGACCGAGACTTAGACCCAAAAGCTTTGTAACTGCTCTCACGGTGATTCAATAAATAAAATTATAAAAAATGAAAAAAAAATAAATGTGTGGGGGGAGTGGGGTGTGGGAGAGAAGGGGCTGCAGGAGGGAAACTAAGGAAATGTACAGGGGACAGATGTTGGACATTATATGACCAAACCCCAATTGTGAACAACTTTGCAACTGTGTATCTCACTGTAATTAAAAAAAATTTTTTTTTTTAAATTATGGCTTTCACTCTTGCCTATAGGCTTTCTTAAGTGTGGAACAGCTCCTGTGACAAAGTTTCAACTTTGTCCTTTTGAACTATTGTATGGCACCCCATTTTGACCACAGATTTCTTATTGAACCCAGAAAGTCTAGAATTAATTCATATGCTATTCATTTAGGACAGAAGCAGCAGCCGGGAGGAATTAGAGCTGACACTGGGCTCTCAAGAAGTAATTAATGGTCCCCAGAGCCCTCCAGGAGTAATTTCTGAGTGCAGAGCAAGGAGGAGGGTGAGGGTGAGGGAGAAGGAGGGGGGGAGGAAGAGGAAGAGGGAGGGGGAGAAAAAGCCAAGAGTTAAAGAAGCTCCTCTCTTCCTAACCCGGAAGTAGCAAAAAGCATTATGGCCAGACGTATTTCATAGACCCAGGAAGAGGGCAGATGAACTGGCCCAGGCCAGATAAGGCTGGACTGCCCCTTCCGGAGAGAAGTTCCAGCAGGAACAGAGTGATAAGAATATGACTGTAGACTAGCAAAAATGTCAGGGTTTTCCCCATGGCAATCCATAGCAACACTCTCTTCTTTACACAGAAAGCCCTGCATGGGGGCAGTTTGGGAGAAATCCTCTAAACCCACTCTTCAAAGGCGAGCAGGGATTCCCCTGGAGATGGGGGGCACGGAGGGGGTGAGGCTCCATCTGAGATGTGGACTCAGCCGTCTCCCCTCTGGAGAAGCCTGCATTCTCTTGAACATGTTACTCTTTATCCCTTTCCTTCCTCATAATCTCTAAAGAAAACTCTTTCACTATTTGTCTCCTCCTGAAATTCTTTTTGTGCGTGTTTGCTTTTTGGCCACACCTGGCTTTGGGGCCACACCCAGGTGCTCAGGTCTAATTACTGACTCTACACTCAGGTATTGCTCCCAGCTGTACTATCTCCCTAGCCCCCTAAAAGCATTTGTTCTAAGATCATACAAAAGGCAAGGCTGTCAATGTTGATCACTATTATTTAACACAGTACAGAAAGTCCTAGCTACAGCAATCAGGTAGGAAAAAGAAACCCAAAGGCATTCAAATGGAAAAAATATTAAATCATCATTATTTGAAGATAACATTATAATATACACAGATTCTAAAGACTCCTCCAAACAAACTTCAGAAACAACCAAAACAATAAAGTAACAGGCTATAAAAACACACAAAATTCAGTTGTATATCTATATGCAAACAATAAACTAATGAAAGAAAAAATTAAAAATCCTATATAATAATTTATCCAAGAACATCAAGTACAAATCTAGGAATCAATTTAACAAAGAAGGTGAAAGACTTGTACACTGAAAACAACAAGTAACTATTAAAAGAAACATGAAAGGACACAGTAATGAAAAATTTGTGGCTTGGAAGAATATTGATAATATGCCCACCCTAGCCACAGCTTTATCCAAATGCAATGCAATCCAGAAGTGACACTGTTGTGTGTGTCCTAGGATACTGTTGGAGGGTCTTGGCACTTTGATGGTATTGACGGTACAGTGAGTTTGTACATCGAAAACATCAACCATGTTACCTCAATAATAGTATTTTTAAAACTAAATTTAAAAAAATTAAGAGCCTGGAGAGATTGTACAGTAGGTAGGGTGCTTGCCTCACACACAGCCAAATCTCCAGCATCCCAGATGGTTTCCTAAGCACCATCTGGCACAATTCCTAAGCAGAGTCAGGAGTAACCCCTGAGCATCGCTGGGTGTGGCTCAAAAATCAAAAGACAAAGATTAAATACAAAAATTAAAATGTTGTATTTCATTCTGAGACAAACTTCTTATTTAACTGCAAACCATACTTAGTCCATACTAGCATAGATTATTCTTACTGACTCTTCTAACAAATACAGTGGGCAGGGTGCTTGCCTTATATGATTCTTTCCCCAACACCCCATGTGGTCCCCTGATCCCCAGTAGTAGTGATTCCTGAGCGCTAAGCCAGAGCACTGCAGAGTCAGAAGTAAGCTCTGGCGAGGTGGGTGTGTCCCAGAAAACGAAAGAGAAAAAAAAAAAGATGAAATCAGCTATATTACCTCCTGAACTCATATACAATTATAACTAAAGTCACATAACAAATGCTTTGGGAAAAGATAGCAAACATTTGAGTATCCTATTTAACTACCCATTCCTCAACATATATATTTAACTACCCATTCCTCAACATATACAAAATTTAATAATGAAACCAATAAATCAGGTATCATTCCAAGAAAATCTTACCTTTCAATTGCCAAGATTTCTATTCCCGAAGCACTGCTGTTTCCATACTTGAAGGTAATTAGCTCAGGATGTTTTTTTTTGGATGTAATTTTAACTACAGAATTTAGTGCTTGTCGAGATTGTATATAAGCCAGTCCTTTCCGTGAAAGAATTTCCCTTAAACAGTACATATGTGTTGCAGTAATCAACAGATGACTAGAGTGTGAAAAAAGAATTTAAAAGAATATTTAAGACAGTTAATTCAAAACAGTTGTTACTTCAACATCTCAACTATAAAAAGTGTTTGACTACAGACAAATTACTTTTGATTTAGAACATAGCCATAGGGTCACTATAAATAAATAAGCTATCAAAATTGTTTTTAATTTTCTATTAGCCATGGAAGCTCATACATTTTTATTCTATTCTACATAGCATATAAAATATACTATCAGACTCTTAACAGTGTTTTTTGTATTCATAAGCTGTTCTCATTCAACACACCACAAATATGTACCTGATATACAATTATCAAGTACAAAAACTAATATCAAGTATCAAAAACTAATCATTTTTGGGTTATCTTACATATTAATATTCCTGAAGGCAAAAATGGCATAGATCAACTAACATCCCTCCTATGTAACAGCTTATCTTTAATATAATGAAGACCCTCATGTAATACAACAACAAAAAAATATCAGACAAATTTAGAATATGGGTCATTCTGCAGAATGTTTAGTGTCAAGGAATTAATGCATCGTAAGAAAATGAGGAAGCAATGGTAATGGTTGTCCAGTTGCACACTGGTGAAAATGAGATGCAGTCACTAACTGCAAATGTATGGACCATCACTGATTCCTGCACCCATAGTCTAGTATCTTTTAATACACTTCAAGGTACTGTGAAAAAACTGAGTACGTGGTGGTGGAAAATGGGCACTGGTGGAGGGATGGGTATTTGATCATTGTATAATCTAAACCCAAGCACAAAAAATTGTAAATCTACAACTGTACCTCATGGTGTTTCACTAATAATAATTAAAAAAATAAATTAAAAAAAACGGTATGCTGAATGACATATGATTATTAAGGTTTTAAAAATATGATGATACAATTGGGGTTGTGTACAAGAATAATCAAAGTCTTGGGAGATTTATACAGCCCAGTTAGGGTGAAGGATCATACCTGTATCTTCTGAATGGTGTGACAAAAAGAAAGTGTATGTATACATGTATATATAAATATATACATAACTAGAGAGAGAGGTAAGTGTAGAAGTTAAAAGCTAGTAAGACTTAAAAAGATGCTCAGTGTACTGTGACTTTTAACATTTTTATCACATTTTTCAAAATAAAATATCACATATTTTTACCTATAGAGATATAATACAAATTAATGAAAAGAAATGATCTCATTATACTTGGAGTTTCTTCGGTAGTTTAGTTTTATGCTACTTAAATTATTTTTAAGATTTAAAATAATTTTTATTATGAAATTTCAATTTAATTTCTGAAGAAGACATTGAAAAAGTACCTAGGAAACATGTGTCCACTTTCTTTCACTTCTTTACAAGGAAAATGATGCTTGATGTCTGGTTTGTTTATCCAAGTCTGAATGTTTACAACCTCTTTTCTATCATCATCTGACATTGAAGAACTGTCGATTTCATCTATAAAGAATTTAAAGTGTTAGGAGGCCTGGAAAATAATACAGGGAAGGCACTTTCCGTGCATACCGCTGGCCCCAGTTAGATCTCTGTCCCCACTTGGGTCCCCAAGCACCACTGAAAGTGACCCCTCAGCAGAGTCAGGAGTAGCCCCCAATATTGCCGGGTTGGCCCACAATCAGTCCTTCCCCCAGTACCCCACACCTGTCAAAAAAAAAAAAAGAATTTATCCCTTTAATTACATATTTCTTAAAAGCCTGGGGGAAAAACTTGAGTAGTATCTTAAACATGGGGATAGAGAGGAATTAAGTCTAATCCTGCTACCATTATTTCCTTATTGTCATTATTTCTTTAGTGCCAATATAGAAATGTTGTGATGCATCACGCAGATGTTAAGAAAGTCAGTTAGGGGCCCTATAGACAGAACAGTGGATAAGGTGCCTGCCCTGCATGCAGCCAATTGGGTTCAATCCTTGGGGACCATCCTGAGCACAGAGTTAAAAGTCCTGAGCATAGCCAGCTGTGGCCCCAAAACAAAATGACACAAAAAAAGGTAAAAATGTTGAGAAAGCACTTTATTTTGGGGCCACGTCTAGCGGTGCTCAGGGGTTATTCCTAGCTCTCACTCAGGGATCACTTTGGGTAGGGCTCAGGAGACCTCATGGGGTGCAAAACAAACACCCTACGTACTGTACCTACTCATACTCTCTCTCTTTCTCTCTCTCATTATAGACTTTTAAAAGATTCATGGATCACGGATCACAGTCCTCCTGTTGTTCATGGATTTGCTCGAGCGGGCCCAGTAACGTCTCCATCATGAGACTTGTTGTTACTGTGTTTGGCATATCGAATACGCCACGGGGAGCTTGCCAGGCTCTGCCGTGCGGGCGTGATACTCTCGGTAGCTTGCCGGGCTCTCCGAGAGGGGCGGAGGAATCGAACTCGGGTCGGCCATGTTGGCCGCTTATAAGGCAAACGCCCTACCGCTGTGCTATCGCTCCAGCCCCTTTAAAAGATTAAACTAAGAAATTTAAACTTTTTAAAAATTTTGATAACAAAACTATGACCTATAACTAGACTTATGATGACTACTCTGAAGAGAGATGCCTGAATGATTTAAGAATAAGCACCCTGTCTTGTTAGAATTGTGTGCACGGAAAGGTGCCAATAACAGAATTTCTACAAACATTTTTTTAAAAAGAGTGCCTATTTCAAAGCTAAGATGGCAGATGGCAGAATTCTTTTCCTCTTGCTGGTTTTTAGTTTTTTTGTTTTTCCTTAAGTTGTGGGACACTCCCAGCAGTGCTCAGGTCTCACTCCTGGCTCTAGGCTCAGGGATCACAACCTAGAGTTCCAGGGAACATCCAGGGTGCCGGGGATGCTGCTTGCAAGGCAAGCATCCTAATTCCTTTCACTATCTCTCCAGTGCAAGGTTTCTAGTTCTAAGGGAAAACAAGCAAATTAAGAAAAAAAAAATATATATATATATACATATATTCAAGGAGGTGACACAAATAGCTTAAGAACTTGCTTTGGCATAAGGAGTCCTGGGTTTGATCTTCAGCACTGCCAGATGTGGCCCCAAACAAAACCAAACATCCATCTTGAGATAAATAAAAATCTAGTCTTTTTTTTTTTGTGTGTGAGGAATAGAAAACAACTTCCCCCCAATTTTAGTTGAATTAGTCTCAACAGTTGATTACCCACTTTTTAAAAATAAAAAATATGAACTGTTAAACAATAAAAAATAATAAAACGAATCTCATTTATCTGAATATCACTTGATCACTTGACATCCTATTATTCATCGGTTTTCTCAAGCAGGCGCCAGTAATATCTCCATTCCTCCCTGTCGCGTGCTAGTTTAGCCCAATGGTGTCTGCTTGCTCCAGGAACACCAAGAGCCTCAAACCGATCGTTCAGGGTCTTGACAAAGAAGTCTGACCATCTCGTAGGTGGGTGGCCCCGAGATCTTTTGACATCCCGTGGAATCCAGTCGGTAACAGCTCTAGTCCAGCAGTCGTCTCCAAATCGCATTACGTGTCCAGCCCATCTGATTTTCGACACCTTGGCAAATGAGACAGCGTCCCTGATTCTCGATCGTTGACAGAGGTCGGAACTCCGGATTCTTTCTCTCACTTGAGTGAAGCATGATACTCCAAGCATAGCTCTTTCAATTCCTCTCTGGGAGACCCGAATAGTGTTCTCATCCTGTTTGCGTAGGGCCCAGGTCTCTGAGGCATATGTTAATACAGGAAGAACAGTGGAGGAAGAGATGTGCCTGGAGCTGGAGGTTCTTCATCCTCTTGGCTATTTCTTCAATGCTCTTGAAGGAATTCCAAGCCGCTCTCTTCCTCCTGCACAATGCAGGTGCCAGGTCATTTGTCATGTTGACTTCTCGACCTAGGTACACATAGCTGTTGCATTCGGAGATGTTTGTTTCATTGAGAGTGAATGGAAACATTGTCTTCGTGAGATTGAGCTGTAGTCCGACCTTTCCACACTCACGGTAGAAGTCGGCCACATTTGTGCCTCTTGGCTAATGTTTGGTGTTATTAGAACGATGACATCAGCGAGGTGGAGGTGGTGTAGCTTCCAATCATCTATCTTATCTTTATCTGAATACATACTTTATATACTATATGCTCACTTTAATTAGTGAAGTCCTCACGTAACTCTTCCCAATCACACTCCCCTTCCTTTTTCACCAAGAAACAGTGACTATAACACTCTGGTGTAATCAGTTATACAAAGATATTTTTTTAAACATATATGCATATCAAAAAATAATAGTAGTGATTTTTGCATTTTAAGTCAGTTACATTCAATCTATCAAATAATATACTGATAGGAAGACTATCAAATTGTATTAGCAATGTAATTGCTATCCTACTCCAAATCAAAATATATTTATTCCATGATACGTATCACACTAGCTTTATTTTTATTACTAAGCAATTTTCCAAAAAAATTTGTATATATATAAATGCTATATATCATGTTACTTGTATCTGATCCTTTTGTTAAAGAGAGAACTGAAATATTCAGAGAGAAAGACTGTTGGATAACAGAAAAACAGCGAAAGTGGGGAAGAAACTGAAATTGCACATAGAAAACTGTATTTGAAAATGTCAAATGCTGTCTAGCAACTGATGGCAAAGAATTTACCCATTGGGGGGCCAAACAGATAGTTAAGGGGGTCAGGCTGCTTGCCTAGCATGCAGGTAATCCCAATTAGACCTCTAGTACCACGTGGTCCTGTGAGCGTGGAGCAGCCACTCACAGCACCACATCCAGTTCTAGAACTGAACTGCCAGATGATGAGCAGAGAATCCCAGGAGGGGCACTAAGCTTCCTGAGCACTCTTTGGGAGCACCCACGAACTAATTACCCTTTGGATATACTTGCAAAAACCATACAGTGCTTTTTAAAAGAGAAAAAAAATCCCCCAAACTAGAAAACTACCAGTGTTAAGGGGAAAGACCAGTTAAATAAATTATGGTTTAATTTTATATAACAGAGAATTAAGGTGGTATATGGGGCTGAGTTGGAAGTCACTGAAGAGTTGCTAAGTAGAAAAGATGGGATTTAGGTGTATTTTCTCTCCCATGTTCAAGAGTACTGTTTTATGATTTTTTTATTTAATGCACATATTAATATTTAGGTTAATTGACAAGGATATATATATAGTGGGTTTATAATTAAACTAATAAATTGTTATTTATTTTATCACAAGAAAAAAAAAACCCACACTGATGAATTTCCCTGGTACAATACCCCCATCTTGTGGCTCTCTGAAATATTGCCTCCAGTTTCAAAAGGTTGTTCTCAGATGTCACAATTTGAGAATTCCTGGAACTTCAGTTCAAGTAGGCTAGGTGGGTAGATCAAAAGGGTTGGCATACAATTCCATGGATTTAAATGTTACTTTAAATTATCATAGTTTAAAAATTCTGAGATCAGAGAGAGAGAAGAAAAGCACCTACCACAGAGGCAGGCTGCGGGGGGCGGTGATGGGATGGAAATTGGGACAGTGGTGGTGGGAAACGTACACGAGTGGAAGGATGGGTGTTGGAACACTGTATGACTAGAACCTAATCATAAACAGCTTTGTAAGGGTCTATCTCACAGTGATTCAATTACAAAAAAATTTTTTTTTTAAAATTCTCCGATCACCCAAATCAAACCTCTGGATTTCTCAACTAAAGACTGCCTGCTCAACAATCAACTGCCTACTCAATACTTCAGCTTGGATTTCTAGTTGGCCTCAATTATGATGTCTAAAACCACTTTTTTTAAAATGTAGGAGTACTACTGTTTAGTCAGCCCATTGATTACACTAACTGAATTCGGCATGAACTCCACATTACCTTTCTTAAAAAACTTTTTTTTAAATTGGATATTAGTGAGATAGACCATTATAAAGCTTCTCTTAATTGGGCTTCAGTCATACAATGCGCCAGCACCCATCCCTCCACCAGGGTGCATTTCCCACCACCAATGCCCCGCTCCCCCCGTTTCCCTACCACCATCCCCTTAGCTTCCATCCTTAGCCTCCCTCTATGGGAGGCACTTTTTTTTTTTAATTTTTATTAGTGGAACACCACGCGGTACAGTTGTAGACTTAAAAAATTTTTGTGTTTGGGTTTCAGTGATACAATGATCGAGTACCCATCCCTCCACCAGTGCCCATTTTCCACCACCACTGATTCCAGTATCGCTCCCACCCCCCATCTCCCCCATCCCACCCTGCCTCTGTGACAGGGCATTCCCTTTTGTTCTCTCTCTCTCTCCTTTTGGGTTCTGTAGTTTGCAAGAGAGGCATTGAGTGGCAATCAAGTTTGGTCTATAGTCTACTTTCGGCATACTTCTCCCATCCTGCGAGGATCCTCCCAGCACCCTTCCAGTGCTCTCTTCTCTATCTGAGTTGCCTTTTCCCCTAGCATGTGTGGCTGGCCTCCAAGCCATGGAGTGAACCTCCTGGTACTAATCTCGGCTATTCTTGAGTGTTAGTCTCCTATTCTGTTACTTTATGTTCCCCAGATGAACGCAATTTTTCTATGTCTGTCCCTTTCTTTCTGACTCATTTCGCTTAGACTATGGGAGGCACTTTCCTTCTTGCTCTCTCGCTCCTCTTTCTTTTGTGCATTATGTAAAACCACTTTTAAATAGAACAACAAATGTCTCAGAGAGCCAGTACAGGATGGTTAAGTGCTTGCTTTGCATGTAGCCAAACTGTTAGATCACCAGCACTATATATGGTACTCCGGGCACTGCCAGGGGATACTCCTGAGCACTACTGGCCCCCAAAACAAAGCAAATAAGCAAATAAAAAACCCACAAAATCTCCAAGCTCCTCTACAGAATCTCCTCTACAGAACTGCATCTGTGTGTGTATTTGTGTGTGTGCGTGTGTTTAAGCAATTGTCCAGGTAGTCTTTGAATGATCTCTGCAACCAAATACAGTGAGCAAGGAAAGCAGTCTGCAGGTAAATGTATTATTACTATACCTGTGTCATATTCTTCTTCATCTCCAATGCTGAAAACAGGCTTTACACCACGGTAAGGCTTGCCTACTCTGTCGCTGCTGCTCACATGCCTATATTCAAAGAATTTTAAGGAGGAAATGATCACTTCAGAAGTTACTGAAGTTTATCAAGTATCATGAATATCCAAACAAAATATAATTTCCCAGGCACAACCCAGTTTTAAGACAGCTATGTTAAGGAAATTGAAACAAGATAAAGAAATTGTTAGCAACAGTGGCATTAGAACTAGACAGAGACTGAATGCTTTCAAGTAAGTAAAACTGAATATTAAAGTTTTAATATTCATATTAAAACCAATGTTTAGTTTTGTATGGATTTAGGGAAGCTACTTAATCACTTTGTGCTTCTCAACTGTAAAAAGGGTGACAATAACATTATCCTCCAAGATTATTATGAGAATTTAGTCAGTATTTTAGAAAATTCTGAAAACAATGAACTACATCAACTCCTACATACACGTCTGTTAGACAAAACAGATTAAAGAACCAAATATTCAAGGTGCTGTGTGAGTAGATATCTAGATTTTTCCTCACTTTGCGTACTCTACCACTGAAACACATTCCCAGTCTCATCTCACTTTTTTAATGATAAACTAATATTTTACTAGAAACTAATGTTTTTCTTTTAAATTAGTATAGACCATAAAGTAAATATGTCTTTATAAAGTAAACCTGTCTTTGTTTTTCAAGTAACCAAAGTATATAAAAAAAAAGGTAAACTCAAACTTGACAAGTTCTACAGAATAACACCTTTTTAATAGAAAAATTTTGTACCTCATTACTTTTTTTCTAAGGTAATTACAAAACCAAGAAGTAAAATTTAAATAGAAACAAAATACTTCATATATCTGGGGAGAAGACATTACTGCTTATAATAAGTTATCTATGGTAACTATTATCTATTTTTTATCTATTTTTCCTTGGGCTGGAGCGATAGCACAGCGGGTAGGGCGTTCGCCTTACAAGTGGCCAACATGGCCGACCCGAGTTCGATTCCTCCGCCCCTCTCGGAGAGCCCGGCAAGCTACCGAGAGTATTCGATATGCCAGACACAGTAACAACAAAGTCTCCAATGGAGACGTTACTGGGCCCGCTCGAGCAAATCGACGATCAACGGGAGGGCCTTTACCTTTACCTTTCCTTTGTCACAGAAATAGCCGAATGTGAAAAAAAATTAAATCAATATGCCTTTATTTATTCGCAGAATTAAATTTTCTCACCAGAAAAAGAGATCAGTATTTTAGAGAAGTATTTTAGAGAATACTTATCAATAACAAAAATCTTACTATGTCATAACTGTTGAAATAGACTTAAATCTTTACTTCTCCCAAATCAACACTTCTCAACAGAAAAACCAAAAGAGAGCTGAGAGTATAACACTCTTTGGGAATTATAAGTTAGGCCAGTCATAAATTAAAATCACAAAATTGATGATTTTATTAAACATATGTAACATAAAATTATCCTGTAAACCACCGAACTAATTTCATTAGTCAACAGAAAAAGAAAGTAATAATCTAAACACCTACTGAACTCGGATTCAGCTTTTTCACAAATGGCAATAAGAAAGATAATATCATTTTGCCTGAAAATATTTTAGTGCTATCTAGCTTATAAATTATTGGTTTTCTGATACTAAAGCATGGTTAGAGTAATGTAACAGAGAAAGCAACAAAAATGTTTACAGTTTGAACTTGAATGCAAGTGTGAATAAAGTAGCAACCCCTCCTCCAAAATAACCAAGTCATCTATTATTATCTAGATTTACAATGGAATGCACTGTAGCACTGTCCTCCCTGATTTGCTCAAGCCGGTCCAGTAACATTGTGAGACTTGTTGTTACTGTTTTTGGCATATCGAATATGACACGGGGAGCTTGCCAGGCTCTGCCGCGCAGGCGAGATACTCTCAAGTAGCTTGCTGGGCTCTCCGAGAGGGGCGGACAAATCGAACTCAGGTCGGCCAGGTTGGCCATGTGCAAGGCAACGCCCTAGCCACTGTGCTATCACTCCAGCCCATAATGGAATGCAGTTTATATAAACAAAATTTCTAAGGATTACGAAGATAATTCTTAAATGACAGGCTAAAATTAATAAAATCAAATGGCTAAACTCCTTTTTTAAAGTTTATTAATACTTCTAAAATCAAAGTTAGTAACAAAAACATGTATAAAATAGTTTATCCTGTTTGGGATTTATTTTATTGAGCTCTGAAAGAAATCCAACTCAGGCTTTTATCCAAGTTTATATTCTCTCTTGAAGACATATTCATCTCTTTTTATCCTCTTTTTTCCACTTGAAAGAAGCCCATCTCTCTCTCTCTCTCTCTCTCTCTCTCTCTCTCTCCTGGGCTGTACCTGGATGTGCTCAGGAGTTACTCCTGACTCTGTGCTCAGGGATCACTGCAGGGTCAGGGACCATATGGTGCTGGGTATCAAATCTGGGGTCAGATAGGTATAAAGCAAATGCCTGCTCTTCTCTCTCTCTCTGTCTCTCTCTCTTCCCCCCCTCCCTCTCCCTCCTTTCCCCACCCATGCTTGCTCTCTCTATTCCCTCACATTTCTCTAAGTAAATGTCCTTCAATAAAATTATGTTTCACAAAAAAAAAAGTGGGGAGGAAAGAAGGGAGGGAGGGAGGGAGGGAGGAAGGGAGGGAGGGAGAGAGAAAGGAATAAAGGAGTGAAGGAAGAAAGGAGAGAAGGAAGGAAGGAGGGAGGAAGGGTGGGTGGGAACGGAAGGGAAGGGAAGGAAGGGAGGGAAGGAAGGGAAGGGAGGAAGGGGGGAGGGGGGAGGAAAGGAGGACGGGAGGAGGATGGGAGGGAAGGGAGGAAGGAAGGAAGGAAGGACCCAATTCAGTCCAACCAAATTGTTTTCAAAACAAATGTTTCTGGGACCTGCAAGAATGGAAAAGGGCTTAGAGCAGCTGCTTTGCAAGGGAATGGTCACCTAGCCAGAAGCACCATGAGTGATCCTGGCAAGTCTGTGGTATGGGACTGGCCTTGTACCCAACCCAGGTCTGTGAGCGTGCCACAGAAATTTACCCCCTGGGAGGGCTGAGGGGCCAGAACAACAGTACAGTAGGGAGAACAATTGTCATTTGCCTTACACCTGGGTTTGATTCTCGCACCGTATAATCCCCTGAACCTACCAGGAATTAATTCCTAAGTGCCCAGTCAGCAGAGCCAGGAGTAACTCCTGAGCACTGCTGGGTGTGGCCCCTAAACGAGCAGAAAAACAAAACAGAAGGAGGATGTGGGAGTGTCAGGGCAGAAAGTGCCACCTCTGGCAAACACATGTGTTCCTGCCACAGTGATCCCTGGCAAATGCTGCCACTGTAATTCATGTGCCTCCACCAGGGGTGTGTGCCCTGGAGAGAGGTGGGCAAACAGCACACTTAAAGGAAGGCTGTCAAGTGTGCAAGCACCAGAACCGGCACCGAAGTACCCGGGAGCTCAGCTGAAAATCTGGAAGCACCATGGCCAGGAGTGGGAGCAAATCCCGGCCACTGCGACAACCAAGGTCAACAACACTGAAGAGAAGGGGGAGGAAGAGGCAGAGTAAAAATAACAAATAAAATTTTAAATAGATGTACTCTGCAATGCTCCTTTCCATAGCTCAGCAGGCAGAGAGGAAGACAGTAGTGTACAAGATGTACTCTGCAGAGAAGATAATTTTAAGACTTTTTTTTAAATTAAAAATTTGCTTTGTTTTTTGCTTTTTGGGCCACATCCGGCAATGCACAGGGGTTACTCCTGGCTCTGCACTCAGGAATTAATCCTGGCGGTGCTCAGGGGACCATATAGGATGCTGGGAATTGAACCCGGGTAACCCACATGCAAGGCAAACACACTACCCTCTGTGCTATTGCTCCAGCCCCTAATTAAGAATTTGGGAGAAAACTTCAGAGTTAAACAAAATTAAATTAATTAAATGGTCCTATAATAAGAAAAATCAAAGATGATTCACAAACAGCTGATAATTTTAACAGAATCGGTTTCTTTGAAAATAGGTTTAGAATAAGTACTAATAAAAGAACAACAAAGAATCGGTTTCTTTGAAAATAGGTTTAGAATAAGTACTAATAAAAGAACAACAATCCACACTTACAGAAACAATCATTTGTAAATAAAAACTTCTCAGTAAATTATTGTTGTAGTTTCTTTAAAAGCTACTTCTTTTAGGACTGGAATATGTACTTCACACCACTGATGGTGGTCCAAAAAAATTTTTTTAAGGAAAAAAAAAAAAGCTAATTCTAGTCACAGAAAATAAGAAATCTCATCTGAGGAAAAATCAGCTACATAATTCTAAAATTTAACTTACATTCAAGGTCTGACTAGATTTAAAATACTCATATATATTACTATAATTGATATCCTAAACGGAAATTTTTTTTTTGGGGTCACACCCGGCGATGCTCAGGGGTTACTCCTGGCTCATGCACTCAGGAATTACTCCTGGCAGTGCTCGGGGGACCATATGGGATGCTGGGAATCGAACCTGGGTCGGCCATGTTGGCTGCGTGCAAGGCAAACGCCTACCCGCTGTGCCATCGCTCCAGCCCCCCTAAACTAAAAAATTTTAAGAGTAAAAACTGCAATGTCATATCGATGCACTAAATAAGTCTAATCAAAGAGACAACCCTAGAAAAATGGCTCATAGGAAACTCATCTCAATATGCTCACTCACCTAACGGCACATATATCATTAAGAAAAAAAATCTAAAAATGTTACCAAAATTCCCAACCATGAGCTACCTTTTGATAGGTATTAATAGTCTCTACTGTTAGGAAAGGAGACAGAAGAAAATGAGATTCTTAAATATATTACCAAATCTGGGACTGTATTTTTTTGTGTCACTATTCCTCTATCTCAGAATAAAAACTGTGGGTTTTATGATGATAAGGATTTTAAAGTATTTGGCTTTCATATAAGGAATGGGAGATTATAAAGCATTCAAGGAAAAAAAAATTAAATGATGAAGCAAAAAACCAAAACAAAAAGCAGATCAATCAGCATAACACACTCTTAAGAAGCAGGATGAGAAATGGTAAGCATTTGAAAGAGTTGCTTGAAATTTTAGCCAAGGCAGTAATGAGGCTTTACAGACAGCATGAGGCATGCTAAAGGAAAAGGATGGTCCAAGAAAGCTGCTCTACTCATTGGCTTACCGCTCTGTACATGTTCTGTCTGGCCAAGGAAGATTGAAAGACATTCTATAGCAAATTGAGGTAGAGGACAGAATAAAATGATTATAAGAATACCAACATCTTTAAGACAAAATTAAAGCATAATCAATTTTTCAAGCCCAGGGTATAAATCATAAAATGATAAAATCATCCAAGTATAAAGAAAAATAAAGAAAAGCCCATGTCAAGTAATCAACAAAGCCAATAGTCTTTTCAACTTAGTATTACCACTTATTTTAATATTTTAAAATGAATGAATTTTCAAGCAGTCAATAAATAATGACACCACTAAGCATCTACTTCAAGAACACAAAAACCTTAATGCATGAAGACATATTCACGCTCACGTTCACTGCAGTGTTATTTAAAATAGTCAAGATCTGAAAACAACCCAAATGCCAGTTACAGATGAGTGGATAAAGAGATTGTGGCATATATAGATAATGGAATACTACTCAGCTACAAAAAAAGACAAAACCCTGTTTTTCATTTCACCTTAGATGAACTGGAAAATGTCATGCTAGGTGAGTTTTAAGGACAAATAACATGATCTTGCTCATGTGCAGAGTATAAAAAATAAAGAAACAATGGTCACTGGAAATCCTGAAATCCTGTCAACAGGTCTCAGAAATGAGGACGCAAAGGGAGGTGGAAATGGGGCAGAGACACGGAGGACAGAGGTGGGGGCTATTGCCACTTTGGTGGTGGGCATGGTACAGAAGCATCATAAGCATAAAATAATGTTAATACTGCTGTAAAACAGGAAAGTGTGATTAAATTTAAAAAATTTTACTGACTGCTTTTAAAAATAAAAATGTCAATGTCCATGCTACGAAACGTAGCAATGATATAGTACTCTGAGGCTGTGGATGGACATAGCAAGAAGGCGGCCACGACTAGTCCAAGAGAGAGGCCTGGAAAGAATGCACGAATTCCCACTCAATTCAATTAATATTTACGGTAAAATGCTTTGTTTTAGTTTTGATTACTCATTTGTTGTAAGAAACTCACCGGTCCACAGGAGTTGATGTATTTTCAATAAAACTGATAACTTTTTCCCTGACATTAACAGACTTTGTCTTCAAAGCAACAGTCATTTTATTTACTAGTGATTTCATTCCTCTATCATTTGAGCCATTAGAAGATTCACCCTTAAAAAAAAAGTAAGAATTTACACATGAATTAACTGCTATTCAAACAATTAATTAGCAGACACACTATTATTAAATGTGAACTAGATGCTATGGATAGAATTGTGTCCTCCCTCGTCCCAAAATACTTGTTAAAACTCCTAATTTTTAAACAAGTTAAAAGTACCAGTATACCTTATTAAAGTGACTATACAGACTTTAGAGAAGTAACAAATTTACTCAGATGGGCGGGTAGGTACTAGCCCAATGAGTGGTATCTTATCAGAAGAGAGAAGCCATCAAGGATACACAGTAAAGAAAAATGGCTATTTATGGACATAGCAAGAAGGTAACCATATACAAGCCCACATACAGGGAAGAAATCAAATATCCCTGCCCTTTCTTTTGGATTTCTTTGAGTTTTCTCCTGGCCCAGATTCCAAGAACCTGTTCACTTGCGAGCTCCAGCTGATCACAGAATTCAGAACCATCATCATTCATATTTAAACTGGAACAGAAAACTGTCTTCAAGTGATAAAAACCTAATAATATTCTTCAGTTTATGAATCTGTAAATACTTTAACTCCATTTCTTTTATTGTGGGAGTTTAGCAATCATCTTCTCTTGAGCATTTATTCAAATTGAGCATTTATTTAAATCTGGCAATGTATTTGCTGTTCTTTTAGTTTGGGGTCTTTTTTGGGGGGTGGGGGGCACACCCAGCTATGCACAGGGGTTACTGCTGGCTCTGTGCTCAGAACTTACTCCTGGTGGCGCTCCAGAGACCACAGAGGATGTTGGAGATCGAACCAGGGTTGGTCGCCTGTAAGGCAAACACCTTATCCGCTGTGCTATCACCCCGGCCCAAATCTGGCAATATGTTCTACACACACACTTACATCAACAGAATTGATACTGCTCCTAGAGCCTGAGGTACTAGCAATCCAATGGCCATAACCATTTTCGGGTCCATCCACATTAATGTCTGCCAGATGCTGCTGCAATGCTGGAGATAAACAAAAAGGAGGCAAAGACTGACATACTGGGCAAGTACCTTTTGGGGACTTATACCAAAGAGAAATAAACACGTTATTGAGAAGTGGAAAAGGATCCAAGGATATAAACATGAATTTTCTTTCTACACCTTCTCAAAAGAGTAAAAGACTCTAAGCTATAGAAAATCTTCCTCTTCTAAAGCGCTCTCTGAATAAAACTTCTTAAATAAACCTAAGAAAACAATGTGTGTGTGTGTGTGTGTGTGTGTGTGTGTGATTCACGTTTTCCTCTTTGAAGAGTAATCTTTCAAGAATTAACAGATCTCAACATTTTTATGACATAAAGGACTACTAAAAACCTATAGTGGCCTTTTTTTTTTCTACCACAGGGAGATACCAATTAATCTTTCTATAATACAGAAGGAATATTGGGCATTAGCTGCTATGGGGCATTACTTTTGGAAAATGAACTGTTTTAAAAAAAGTTTCTAAAACCAAGACTATCCAAAGAATGGTCTTCAGAAACTTGAGGACAAATTTAATAATGAGGTTTTGTATTATATTGTCAGAATTCCTCATAAACAACACTGACAAGACATATACCACTATCTTATATAAAACTGAACAACACAGGCTTGAACTGTAGAGGTCTATTTATACGTAGTTTTTTTCAATAAATACATCTAGTCTTTCATATCAAGTTTCCTATTCATAATTTCAATTCATCTTGGAAATCCACAGGGATTTAGAAATCTAGTTCTTGGATGAAGTTAAGTTTTGGGGTCATTACCTATATATATATATAATTATTAAGGTAAAGGTAAAGGTAAAGGCCCTCCCGTTGATCGTCGATTTGCTCGAGCGGGCCCAGTAACGTCTCCATTGGAGACTTTGTTGTTACTGTGTCTGGCATATCGAATACTCTCGGTAGCTTGCCGGGCTCTCCGAGAGGGGCGGAGGAATCGAACTCGGGTCGGCCATGTTGGCCGCCTGTAAGGCGAACGCCCTACCCGCTGTGCTATCGTACATATATATAATTATTACAGCTTAGGTAACACAGGTAAAATAGCATTAAGCATTCATACTCATGGTGAACAAAATTACTGCCCCTCCACCACCACCAGAGGATCAAAAAGCTGCCACCACTTTCCTGATGTCACCTTCTACTTTGCCTCTCTCTCTTCCACCCTTGCTTGGTAAACTCAGTTCTGTATTCAAAGTCCAAGGAGTTGCATTATATATCATTCACTCCTTTGTTTTGTTTCTTTATGTAACACATGTACATCAGGTGACCTGGTATATGTTCTTCTAACTCATGTCACATTATATGAACCAAGACTGGGGGAAAATTTTGCTAAAATCGGGGACCAGGTTCCTGCCTTGCACACAGATGGCCTGGATTTTTCATCCCCGAAACTCTGCCAGGAGTGATCCCTGAGCACAGAGCCAGGAGTAAGGTCTGAACACAGCTGGATGTGCCTTCACTCCCTCCAAAAAAGAAGCTATTTATCTACTAGTTGTACATGTATACATTTAAGTTGGTAAAATGACAGGCTCTTCTGGGGCTGGAGCGATAGTATACTGGGGAGGGCGTTTGCCTTGCACATAGCTGACCTAGGTTCAATCCGTGGCATCCCATATGGTCCCCCAAGCACTGCCAGGAGTGCAAAGTAACCCCTGAGCATCGCTGGGTATGACCCCCCTCCGAAAAATACAGGCTCTTCTAAACTCTTATAACCCTGACCTATCACTATCACCCCGTTGTTCATCGATTTGCTCGAGTGGCTGCCAATAACGTCTCCATTCATCCCTGTCACTTGCTAGTGAAGCCTGATGGCATATTGGGGGCTCTTTCAGGGTCACCTTGACTTTATAAAAATTTACAAAATTTTTCTTAAATTTTTTTTAATTTTTAAAAATTAAAAAAAATTATTTAAAAATTTAAAAAATTTACGAAAACTTTACAAAAATCCTCAAATATTTGTGGAATTTTTGCCAATTATTTTAATACCTCAATTATTTATATCCATTCATACCTCAATTATTTTACTACTTAGATTACCAGATACTTAATCTGCACATTTATAAGCACCAGCTTTTTTTATTCCAAGGCAAAAACCATGTTAAGAAACTAGTCAAAACCATATTTTTTAGAAGCTGATATTTTCAAGCAGTTTAAGTAAGCTGAAAATAAACCAAAAAAAGCAAATAGTATGAAGGGTATTTGCTATTTTGGTTTGTTTTGGGGGCTACAACTGGCAGTGCCTAGGACTTACTCCTGGCTCTGTGCTCAGGGGACCATGTTAGGTACAGAGGAATAAACTGGGGTCAGATGCATGCAAGACAAACACCTTAACCTCTGTAGTATCTCTCTGATCTGAGTATTTGCTTTCTGTTAAAAGCATTCCTCCTATTCATATCCTTCCCACTCTGTAGAGACAGATCATATGGATGTTTTTAATGGATCTTTACCAAACAAACAAAACAAAAAAAAGCCCATTTTGCCAAGATATGCTAATTAAACATATCTATTTAGTCTCTCACTAAGTATCTGCTCATTCTTACTGACTGCTATGTTTGCATGTTTTCTATTTGTCCTGCTTGATGAAGCTTTTCTGAAAATACTGTATTACTGAAGAGACAGCATACTCCAAAGCAACTCTGGTGATATTTCCTTTGAAAAGTAGAGGGAAATGTATGTAGATTAACATACAAAAACCTTACCCATAAATCCTCCACTGGCAATGCTCACATATTCTTTGTTTTTCTGTAATAAGCATAAAAATTATATTATTACAAAGTACAATATAATTAAATTCTATGATCTATAAACAGTTATTATTGAGCTATAAGGTTATTTTCTTTCTTAATATTTTTTTTTCTTTTGTTTTTTTGGGTCACACCTGGTGATGCTCAGGGGTTACTCCTGGCTCTGCACTCCTGGCGGTGCTTGGGAGGACCACATGGCATGCTGGGGATGGAACCCAGGTCAGCTGTGTGCAAGGCAAATGCACTCCTATACTATCGCTCCGCCCCTTCCTTGACATTTTGTACTTTATTACTAATGTGGTACTTGGGGTGGGAAAAAAGTAAGTTTATGGCAATTACAAGACTGGTTTTATCTGTATTATAGTTCTAACCCTGAAATAAGGAGTCAAACTAAAATTAGTGAAACTGAATTTTAGGAATGAGTATAATTTTATTAGGATGGTTTTAGAAGCTTTCAAAATGCCTTGCATTGGGGCTGGAGTGACAAAGTACAGTGGGGAAGGCGCCTGGCTTTGCATGTTTGATTTCTGGTTCCCTGAGCCCTGCCAGGAATGGAGTCAGGAGTAAACCCTGAACACATTTGGTGTGACTCAAAACCAAAACCAAAATGCCTTGTGTCCTTTATACAAAAGAATCATAAAAGTAAATAATACACACTTAATTATTAAAAAGAATTGATATAATTTTATTTTTAAAATGACTTAAAAAGAATGAATGTAATCAATGATAAACAGAAAGACATTACAGGGGCCAAGAGGACTGGTCAATGGTTGGAAACTTGCCACAGAGTGGGTGGGGGTGGGGGGGGTCAAAGGGCAGTTAGAATAGAAAAGGGACTATCCCCTCAGTAATAGCTGGGAAAGATCATTTTGTACAGGAAATGAGTGTTGAAAGCAGGTAAAGGGATATACCTGGTAACCTTTCACCTTCTGTATTGGAAACCATAAGGCGGAGAGAGAGAGGAGAGAGGAGAGGGGGAAAGAGGGAGAGAGGAAAGGAGGGAGGGAGAGGGGGAGGGAGAGGGGGACAGAGAGAGAGAGAGAGAGAGAGAGAGAGAGAGAGAGAGAGAGAGAGAGGGGAGAGAGCTCGCCTTGGGAAATCTCTACCTCCTAATGAAAGTACACAGTATCCAGGATTTCCTGTTTCTTCTTAAAGTAATCTGATCAAGTCAGTCTCTGGATGAAATTACCGATTAACAGGAAATAGGGACTAATTCTGATATGCAACACAATTTTGACAATGCTATGGGTAAAAATTCTATAGCAAAGCGATACTCTGACATAAAGAAACAGTTTTCTTTTCAACAAATATATGCAAAGGAAAAATATCAGGAAAGGAAGTCTATGAATTTAAAAAACTTAAAAGATTATAAATCAAGTGTAATGTATTGTTTATGATCCTGAGAAAATCAGGAAATTTGAAAACCATTTTTTTTGTAATAAGGTCTAATAACAATAATGTGGTTAGAATAATAACATGGTTATGCCTCTAAGAATTTATAATGTCCAGTTCTTCCTATTTTTGAATTTGTGACATCACTTTATGATATCTATGATAAATATCAGGGGGAAGTTCAATAATACACCAAGGACTTAACTTGTATTTTAAAAATCTAATGTTCCAAATTATTGTCATCTGAAGTTTTTCTAGAATAGGCCAATTAAATGTGTATGTTAAGTATGTCCCTACATTTGTTCTGTATAATTGCCTCTATGTTTCCTAGTTCCCTATATTTGTTCTGTACAGTTTAAAATCTGTCCTTTAATAAGATAAAAAAAATTATAATATCTTCCCTAAAGACAATGTTACTTTTCTGATTTTTTATTTCAAGGATTCTGTTCTTGGATTCTGTTCTTTTTATTATTTTTTGGATGAAGCGAGATAGTTTTTGTTTTCTCGTTTGTTTTTAATTTTTTTTTTGTTGTTGTTGTTCTGTGGCCACATCCAGCAAGGCTCAGAGATACTTCTGGCTCTGTACGCAGGAATTACTCCTGGTGGGGCTGAGGGGACCACTGGGGTGCTGAGGACCGAACCCAGGTTAGCCTTGTGCAAGGCCAATGCCCTATCCACTGTACTGTAGCTCCGGCCCCAGCAAGATAGTTTTTATTGAATAGCAATTACTTAGAAAGACATGACGGGAGACAAGGGGATGAAAACATGTCCAAGAGAGAACTTGGGCTTTTCTGGAGTGGAGTACACATAGATAAGTGTTGAAGGGCGAACATGGGCTTGAAGAGCAAGCCTCAACCTTTTTCTGACTGTGCCCCTCAATTTTACCTCCTCTGTGTGGTCCTTCTGGCCTCATCTTCTGACATGGCCACCCAATCATTCAATTTTCCCCTGTGGCCCCTTTGGGATATCCTGTGCGAACCGTATGTCCACGTGGTCCCCAGGTGAGAAATGCCGCTTTACACTTTCTCAAACCACATTCCCAGTGAAATACATGACTGGTGAGCCGGGAATGAGGCTCAATGGCCAGCACGTTTTGCATGTACTTGGCCCTTTGCATGTATATATGACACACAGCACCACCTTCCCAAATAGAAAACAAAAGAAACAAACCCAAATTAATTCCAACAACTTGCCTGCTGTCTGCTGATTCTACAGTGTTGGATCCTAGAAAAATCAGGACTCTGACAGATAAACTACCAAAGAATACCTAAAAGGGGGCCAGAGACAGCTCAATGGGCTGGAGCATGCTTGGCCCATAGAAGGCCCAGGTTCCATGTGTGGTACTGCATCATCCCCTGAACACTGCCAGGAGTGACCCCCTCAGCTGAACTGCACAGAACCTCTGACCTCTGCTGAGTGTGGCAGACAAAACAAAACAAAACTCTAAAGGCAATACAAATAAAGCAACATTTTTTACCACTTCATTTTTGGACTGCATGGGCTGTGCCCAGGATTACTCCTAGCTCTGCACTTAGGGATCACTCCTGGCTGGCTCGGGGGACATATCTGATACTGGGGGTGGAACCCAGGTGAGCCGCATGCACAGCAAGCATCTTACCTGCTGTACTATCTCGCCAGCTCTAAAGAATTATTGTTCTAAACAAAGAACTGCCACTGAGTGAAGCTAGAGAAGAAAAAACTTGAGTAAAATCACAATCAATCAGTAGTGCAATTGGTTAACTACCTGGAAAAAAAAAACAAACCATTTTGATTCCTATTTCTTTTGCAAAAACAAATGCCATAGAATAATGTACAAGTGAAGTCTAATTCTAATGCAATGTTAATTCAAGAACAATTTTTAATAAATTCCATATATATGGTTTGAATGCTTAAGCATAAAAAAACATACACCATAAAAGTGTGGAAGAAAAATGAAGAGGATGACATTTCTGGAAAGACATAAAGACAAATGTATAAAAAAAAAAACTGCTAAACTTGACTGTGTCTGTGTATGTGTGCATGTGTGTGTGTGTGTGTGCGCGTGTGTGTGTATATTTTTTGAACCACACTCAGGGGTGCTCAGGGATTATTCCTGGCTCATTGCTCAGGAAGCATTCCTGGCGATGGTGGGGGTGGGGGCTGGGGGCAAGGGAAGACCAGATGCAGATGACCTGGGGTCAGCTGCATGCAAGACCAGTGCCTTAACCACTTTATTCTCTCTCCAGCCCCAAGCTTAACAATTTCTTAAAGGTGATCATGATAACGCAGCAGATTGAAATGATCAGTCAGCATACCTGTAAAAAGTGCGCCAGAACCATGTTCATATACATGTCTTCCTCCTCTCGGCCACTGCCCATGAAACACAGGTGCTCCCCTCCAGCGATGGAGCCAGATTCAATGGACTGTTTCTGTGCTTCAAGCAAGGACTTCACTGACTGTGCAAACTCAGATGGATTCTGGAGCATCTAAACAATCAAAAAACAAAAAAAAAAAAATTTTTTTTTTTTTTGGTTTTAAATACAGTAAGCCTGGATTTCTCTCTCAGGCCTGGGTTCCCCTGTGAACATGTATCTCACTTGCTTGGCACTAGGCCTTCACCTGGCTGGGCTTGCTCTTCAAGGCCCTGTTCTCCCTTGAGGACTACCTTGCTTACTGCTTGTCTTTATGTCCCTTTGCTGGCTTTTTCCTCTCTAGAGAAGCGCGTGTTCTCTCTTGAACATGTAGTTCCTCTCTTTCTCTTCCTTCACATCTTTCTAAGTTTCATTCACAAAAAACAAACAAACAAACAAAAAAACCCCAACAATAGAAAAAAGCAACACAAAATATAAATAAAAAGAAACATGGCAAGCCTCTATTTCAAAGACAATTTCAAAATTTGAAATCCTTTTCAAGGAAAAAAAATTTTAAATAGTTAACATAAGGGGTCAGCAATGTGGCTCAGAGGTAGAGCACTACCTTGCAGGTGTGATGCCCTGGGTTCAATACCTAGCACCACCAAAATTTAAAAAAAAATGTCAATAACAAAAAAAAAAAAGAAAAAGAAAAAAATCTCATAGCAATAAAAATGTTTTCCTTTCTCTAAACACAGACTCTGGCTGTTCTCCATTTCCTATGAGTTTTGCTCTCAACATTACCTAGGTCCTTTTACTTTCTACATTAGCCTTAGTTTCAACTTTTTTCAGTTAAACTGAAAAGAAGGGTAGGTTAGAAAATTGTAAAGGAATTTCTCCTCTTCCTGCCTTCCCTACCCCTGAGGCCCTGGTAAATTCGAGAACAGCTTAGATAGTATTATACCCAGCTCTAAAACACTGCTCTAAGCATCTCTGACAATTCATCTCATTCATTCCTTCAACTAAACTGACCCCCAAACAGTTAGTTTGATAATGGGGCATCTCTATATCAGCTACCACCTCAATTAAGAGAAGTCATTATAAACATAACTATTCATGATGGAAAAAAAAGCTTCTACTAAAAACTTTTAAGAATCCTTACCCAATTCTAACGTGAACTCATATTTAAAGAGTACTTACTCCATGCGAGACACTAATCTAAATGCTGCGGCAGCTCACAGGTAAGTGTAGAATTCACTGACATCACAATGCTAAGCAATGACTAGTCATCGGTAACAGTGCTTTCATCTCTCCTTTATGATATCAAAAGGGTATCTTGTGTTCAGAAGGCCCCTAGAGCCACTCCGGCAGACTGTGCCCACCTGTGCAGGCTCCCCATTCTGGGCTTGGGCTTGGCAATGCGGCACTCCTCAGGCCCAGCAGGGACACACCCAGAGAGGCGCAGGGGCCATCAGGGCTACACGTGAGACCTGCTGTTTCGGGGGTCAAACTCAGGTCCTTCTGCCTGCCAGCACGTGCTCCAGTCCTCTACGCTATTTCCCCCAGACCCAATACTTGTCTCCAAAGGGCAGGCATTCCCTCCTCTTTTTTCCCATTTTTGTGCCACACCAGGCAGTACTCAGGGGCAACTCCCTGGTGGTGAGGCAGAACCACGCCATGATGTGCATGAATCCAGGACTCCCACATGCAGAGCACACACTCCAACACACGGAGCTTCCTCCCTGGTCCCAAACTCCCTGCCAATATAGAAAGAAAAACAGCCCCCATCTGGTATTGGTCTCTTTGGGGGCCAAACTATTTTCAGGAGTGCCATAAACAACTGTAGAACCCCAATCATCACAACAATAATAAGGGAAAGGGAGACAAAAATAAAAAGGAAAAACTATTTTTCTTATTTTCTTGGTGAGCACTGATACTAACCAGATCTGAATCTAAGTGGAAAGCAGTTGACAAATGCCCGGCATTGTACTGCTCTGCAGGACGGCAATCCACCACAAAGAACCGGACTCCTTCCTAAAAGGCAGACAAGAGTATAGAATTTGCCATTAGGGTCATTACTTGATATCATCTGAACAGTTAACCAAAGTAGCAGGAGCAAATTCATTAAAAAAAAGAAAATCACAAAGAATTATAAGATCTAATCAGAAAACTACAACATCCTCAAGTTTAAACCATTTCATTCATTTTTTTACAGTTAAACTATATATTTGGGGAGTGGGGGTGAGGGTTAAGGGGCCTTAGGCCACGTCTAGTGATGCTCAGGGCTGATTCTTTACTTTGTGCTCAGGGTTCACTTCTGAATGGTGGCTCAGGGGACCTTAAATGATTCACCAGATCAAAATGGGGTTGGCCACAAGCAAAGTGAGTGCTTAACCTCTGTATTCTCTCTTCAGTCTTTATATATTACTTTTGACTGGCAAGTCTTAAAAGTATGTATATTGGAATTTAATTTTTAAAGTATGTACCATATTAGATATTTTATAAAAATTACATCATCATAAGGAAATATCGATATAATCCTTCTCCTGTAAATAGTCAATTAATCAACAAGTACATTTATTTTAGTCCTAAATGCCTTTTGGTGGTGAGAGAAGGTTCTGCAGTGCTGTTTAAACTTAAGTTTGCATGAGTCTCTCTAAATTGTATTATATTTTCTTTTCGTTTGTTTGGGGGTCACACCCAGCTGTAGTTAGGTGCTCCTCCTGTCTCAGGTCTCAGGGGTAGCTCCCAGAAGTACTCAGTTATGTGAGGCAGGGACTGGACCCAGACCTCTGCCATGCAAAGCATGCGTCAGTCCACCGAATTCTCCCCAGCCTTTAAATTTGTGTTTTTATTTTGTTTTTTACTTGAGAGCCACACTCAGCATGGTGAGGGGCTACTGTGTCCTAGTACTGGGTACTGTGTGTGTGTGTGGGGAGTCACTCCCCACATTGCTTGGGGGACACCGTGAGATGCAGAGGCTAGAAAACAAGTTTCCTGCAGACAAAGCCTGCACCCAGATCACTGAGCTAACCCTCCAACCCTTCACTTGTTTTTCAAAAATAATAATTCTAATAAATAACAAATAAAACTAATTAATAAAAAAAGAGATAGTTTTCTTTTTTCTTTCTTTTTTTCTCTTTTTGGGTCACAGCCGGTGATGCTCAGGGGTTACTTCTGGCTCTGCGCTCTGGAATCCTTTCTGGTGGCTGGTGCTCAGGGGACAACATGGGATGCCAGAGGCCGAACGTGGGTTGGACGTGTACAAGGGCAACTGCCCTCCCTGCAGTTGGTTTTCTTTTTTTAAGATATGGAATAGGTTTGCATATGTAAATAAGTCCAACTGAGAAAGACTACTGTGAAAGGGGTGTGGTTACATGTCCATTCGTCTTCCACCTTGAAGATACTCACCTTTCAAATCCACAGACCTAGAGCTAATGGGGTACCTGTAGTAATAGTAATAACGAATGAACAGATATTGATAAATATCAAGAACTGGGATGTGGCTTCGTGGTAAAACATTTGACTTGCTTGTGTTTGAGATCCCGAATTTGGTCCCTAGCACCATAACACAAAACAAAAACAAACAAAAAGAGTAGCACTGGTAAAGTGATGAAGACAGAAAACTCTCTAGAGTCTGTCAATTCCTTAAGAATATGCTTTACATCACAAATTAGAACTCATTTAACTTTAGTTGTATAAGTACCCAGAATTGTGAAATGATAAAATTTTCCATTTAAGTTGTTTATACAATTCTCAAAATATTAAAAAAAAGATTTTGACATAAAAAATTTGGCATAAAAAATTAAATTTCTGAAAGCTGAAGAACACACAAACTGATCATTTTAAAATGACCATGGAGTGGCCCAAGCGATAGTATAGGGGGGTCACTGCCAGTCATTCCTGACTGCATAGCCAAAAGTAACCTCTGAGCATTGCTGTGTGTGGCACAAAAACAAAAGAAAATAAAGCACTGAAATAAAAAACTGAGAATTAAGCTGGAGAAAAAGCACAAGATATTTTAAAGTACAAGCACTTGTCTGGTATGTGGCCAACTTAGGTTCAATTTCTGGCATGGCATATGGTCCTCTAAATACTGCTAGGAGTGTCCCCTCACCCCCCACCCATATTAAAATAAAGTTCCCTTATTAAAGGGCTGGCAAGATAGTATAGTGGTTTGCGCACTTGCTTTGCATGCAGTGGAACTTGGTTCTATCCCTGGCACCCCATACAGGCCCCTGAGCTTGCCAGGAGTAATCACTGGGTGCAGAACCAGGAATAAGCCCTGAGCACAGTCAGGTATGGCCCAGAAACCTTATTTAAAAAAAAAAGTGCCATATGGACAGAAGATTTAACAAATTATGCAAAAAAAAAAAAAAAAGCAAAACAGACACATTATTATAGTGTAGGGTAACACTGTTTTATCCTTCCTCAGGTAGGTAGGTTTATCAGGTCATACCCATCCCAGTGCTCCTGAGTCACTCCCTTTGTTTATTTGTAACTACTTCTCTGTGCTCTCCTCCCCAGTCAATTAATCACCTTTTCTCCCTAATCAGATTCTGTTAGCTTGTAAAATCAGATCCTTCTAAGGACACTGAACTTGTATTGTAAGTTATGTCTTTTGAATAGTTTACCTTAAAGCAATGTCCTTTCTGTATGAACACAGGAAGACAGTTAATATTATGCTTTGTAACTTGGGAGTTTGAACTCTGAATAATATTTACTCCTGGGCATCTGCTTTCTTGACTCCGTTGTCCTTAGTTCCTTGCACCCCAAAAGCAGGGTCCCGACAAGGACCCAGGGAAGTTGTGAGCTACCCTGGCATCGAAATGGGGCAGGCTGAAGTGCCACAATACTCAGCTGTAAGTTGAGGGCATGATCATGGACAAATGCTGTCATGATCCAAAATGCTGTCATTAATCACATTACTTAGTAATGACTAAACTAGGACCCTGATGGGGCTAGGAAGATTAACCTGGCCTGAGGACTATGGAATGTAGTGAGATGTTCTCGGGAAGAACCAAACTGTAAGTTTATATCTCTTACTGTGCTCATACAGAATGACACTGCTAGAAATATTAGAAGTAGATTTACTACAACTATTTAAGTAGATCACTAGCTGAGGAAAGAACACACCCTCGTTGGGTCCCACCCTTGAGCAGATCCCCTAGTAATGTGGAGTAATCTCTTTAGATGATATTTTATCCTTGAGTTAATCTCCTGGAGGAGTGGTCTTACCTCTCTTTGTTGATTTGTTGATGTTCAACCCACCTTTGTGTCACCGCCCTACGTGACTGCTATATAAACTAAGACTGTAAGATCGAAGGGAGCTCGGGCTCCAGAGATCCACAGCCAGAGCCAGAAGGAGAAAGAGTTCCAGACTGGGGCCCAGGAGAGAAGTGGAGACAGAGGAGAGACAGGAGTGAAGAGGATTGGAATAAACAGCAACTAAGACCAACCAGCCAGGCTCTCATTTCCTCCTTCGTCTGCCCTTGGCCAACAGCCATCCGGATCCAGGCCACACACAGCGGCTCAAGAGCACCGAACGCGGGTGGTGAGATAGAGCCCGTGAACACACAACCTTCAGCGTGCTAAGATTTTACATTATAGTATATCATTTTTGAGGAAATCAAAACATGTGGGAATTTAAAAGGGAGAGTCCCTGAAAAATTGTGAATTTTTAAAAAATTTACCCCTTGCAGCTGATTTGCTTGAAGGATTTCTGATACCGAGACAGCCAGACAAAGAGCTTGACTCAGGTCTGCATCATCATCCTTTATCCCCAACAAAGTACTGCCAAATAGATGGTGATTATCCTGTTTGAAGAGGATGATTTTTAAAACATTAAGAAGAAAAATGATGTATTTTCTTCCTATAAATATCTTTAATAAATCATGATAAAAAGTAAAAATTACATGATATCCTTGAGACATATGATTACTAAAATCTATCATTTCAAATCTAATACATTAAAAGCTACATGCAAAGGTCACATAAAAAGTCCCTGTCCAAGTTCACACAAATGCAAAATCACCAAAAATGGTTACCCTCAACTTTTCATATTTTAAGAAAAACGAAAGTTGTATAGCAACTGCTTTTGTCTATTTATTATATCTGAAGAAAAGAAAAAATTCTTTTCCATCAAGTATTCTAAATACAAGCCCATCAATTGAGTTATTCAACGCAGCTGGCCAGAGTATTTTAACTCAAGTAAATACAACATAAGCATTAAAACAATGTGCAAATGTATAATACTCAATAGTAACTTCTTTCTCATACCTTCCTAAATGAAGCTGGTGTTTTACTGCAGTAATACTGAGCCAGAGAGAAAAGGTCTTCTATATCTTCTAGATTCAAACTGGATGGAGTATTTTCCAAGAATTCTGAAACATAATCACAGATTTTTAAAAGCTGTTTGTGAAGAATAATGGGTATTATGTGTAAAAATTGAAATAATGTCAACATAATAAAAACTACATTAATGAATTTTTTTTTTCTTTTTGGGTCACACCCAGGGATGCACAGGGGTTACTCCTGGTTCATGCACTCAGGAATTACTCCTGGTGGTGCTCAGGGGACCATATGGGATGCTGGGAATCGAACCCTGGTTGGCCGCGTGCAAGGCAAACGCCCTATCTGCTATGCTATCACTCCAGCCCTGAATGAAATATTTTTGAAGCAAAATAGTTTTATTGAAAGAAATTTAGAGGGATGAGGAGAGTAAGACAGAGAGAGAGGGGGGAGGGGGGAGAAAAAGAGAGAAAGAAAGAGAGAGAGAGATGTTTAAGAGAGAACATGGGTTTCCCCAGAATGGGGAAAAGGACTTATAAATGGACCATTACTGGTGATGCCTCTTAAATTATTTTTTGTTTCAGGATCATAACTCATCAGTGCTCAGGGGCAACTCTCAGTCCTGTTCTGAGGGTTGCTTCTGGCAGAGCTCAGGGGACGATGTGGTGCCAGGAATCAAGGCCAGGGAGCCCACACACAAAGTGTGTACTCTGTACAGGGCAAAGCCAGTACACAGAATTATCCCGCTGGTCCCAGTGATTCCTTTAAAATTGCCACAAGTACATGGAGGGCGGAGGGCAGAGAAGGGACCAAAATACTAAAACCAGGTTGGAAATGATCACTCTGGACAAGAACTGAGTTAATGACGTAAGAAACTCTGTCCTAATCTCATGCATTTATAGATGAGGAAGTTGTGTTTTAGAAAACGGAGGATCTTGAAATGTTTTCTCTACATTAAACAATACTTACGAATAACTTCTTCTTTGCTGTCAGACTCCTGTGCTAAAATAACTTCTCTGTGAAAAAAAAAAAAGAATATGTATAGTAAGTATTAAGAGAGTTTCCTGAGAATAGACAGATTTAAGTAACTTTTTACTTACTTTGCATTAACAAGAATTATTAACATTAAGAAATAAATAAAAAATGGGTCTGCTTGTTGTAGATATCCATCCCATATTGCCTGGGTGACTTCAATGGAACAGTAACAGGCGAAAAGGCTTCCAAGCTGTAAAACACAAATGAGTGCGAAAAAGAAATCATTGGAAATAACATGTAAGTGTACTAGAATAATGCACAATCAAATCACCTATACCTAATATTTAATGTGCACCTTAAGATTAAGACTGTGCAATATAGATCCAAGCACATGGGACAACTTAGCTGTATGACTTAAGGCAAATCACTTAAGTTCTAAGACTTCCATTAACTATGTTTTCTTTTGTGTGTGCAAATATGCAGGGGATCGCACCCAGGGCTTCACATGTAAAAGGCATGTGCTCCACCACTGTGTCCCAGTCAGCATTTCTACTTCTGGAAGTAAAAAAAGAGGACAACTACTGCTCATCCTCTACAGTTTGTGAAGAGCAAAACCATTAACCTAGGTATCTAAAGTTGCCGTAATCTAATTACTCACAGAATCCTGGCATGATTATTACAGTCTTATTTTACAGACTGATTATGACAGTCTGAAGGTGTGAGTGTCAAACATGATCATTTAAGAGCACTTAGTGAAACATTACAACAAAATAAACGTAAAAATGCTCTCAAAGCTTGTGTCTTATATATCTTTTGAAATAAGTAAGTGAATTTTCAAGATCCCTCAATACTTTTCAAGACTCTCCATATTTTTCTATTTCTACTGTTAATATCCAAATTTTTCTAGAACGCAGTTTTCTATTAAAACTGCCCAGTTAGGGGACCAGAGTGATAGTAGACAGTAGTAGTGATAGCAGGTAGGGCACTTGCCTTGCATGCAGCTGACTTGGATTCAATCCTCGGCACCTAGGATGTTCCTCCAAACCTGCCAGGAGTGATACCTGAGCAGAGTCAGGAATAAGCCCTGAACACCACCAGGTGTGGCCCAAAAACCAAAGACCAAACAAACAAAAACACCCAAAACCTGCTCAGTTATAGATTCTCAAAGTTTGGGAATTAGTTTTATCTCAGGATTTAAAAACATCCATTTCTATAGACAATCTGGTAGCAAGAATAAACTGAGGTGAGTCTTTAATGAGGAGGTTTATAGCTATATATCTGAATTTTTAGAATTTTCACAAAATTGCTAATCAATGGCTAAATCAATAAAATAATGAACTTCTGGGTTATTGATTGATGAGAACTCAGCCACTTCAGTAATCAATTAAAATTTTTTTTGCTACCAACATTAAGAGTTCCGGCAATAGAACTTAACCTTTCACCCTCTAAGATGAGAAGTACTTCCCATTTTACAGATGTAGAAATTGAAGTGCAGAGGTCACATCTTAAATCATACAGTTAATAGTGACAGAGAAAGAGTTTTCAAGAAACGTCAGGTAACACATAATTAAGATAGTTACTTTTTTTTTCTTTTTTTCTTTTTGGGTCACACCCGGCGATGCACAGGAGTTACTCCTGGCTTATGCACTCAGGAATTACTCCTGGCCGTGCTTAGGGGACCACATGGGATGCTGGGAATCGAACCTGGGTGGGCCGCCTGCAAGGCAAATGCCCTACCCGCTGTGCTATCGCTCCAGCCCCAAGATAGTTACTTTTTAAATATACATTATCCTAGCACCTTCTTCTAACATTCTTTTGGCATTTAATTGTTGTTTTAAAAAGATTTTATTTCTTTTTAGTTTGGGTGCCACACCCAGAGGTGTTCAGAGCTTACTCCTGGCTCTGTGCTCAGGGATCATTCCTGGTGGGACCTGGGGGGGCGGGTTCGAATCTGGGTCAGTCTCATGCAAGGGCCAGAATCCTACCTGCTGCACTATCTCTCCAGTTCCTGTTTTAGAGAGATGTTAAAGTTAACCTAAACAGTTCTCAGTATCTGAGCAACCCTCAAAGTCCCAAGGTGATACACAGGGGAATCAGTAAGATCAAAGTTGTTTTTCATAATAATACTTAGATTGAATTACGGTTTCCCATACTCATTTCCTACAATAGGGAAATTAAAAAAATTTTTTAATTTTTTTTTTTTGTCTTTTGGGGTCACACCTGGCAACGCTCAGGGATTACTCCTGGCTCTACACTCAGGAATAACTTCTTGCTCAGGGGGTCATATGAGATGCCAAAGATTGAACCTGGGTCACCTGCATGCAAGGCCAGTGCCCTCCCCGCTGGACTATGGCTCCAGTTCCAGAAAATTAAAAAATTTAAGTATCATTACAAAGTGACTACAGAAACAGATATGAGAATCTTCCTGGGTGATCTGGGTAATTAAGATTTGCAAAAATATGAGATTTATGAAAATAAAATGCTATTATCCTAATTTTCTTTTGAAAAATATTGTTTGTTAAAAAGTTCAGGATATGTTGACAAGTAATGGATTGAACATTACTTCTAAATAAATATATAAATATTTAAAATTTACTTTCAATCTCTAATCAACATAATCCACATAAACTATTGTTTCTCAGCAAATGAAGAAGAGAGGTCCTGAGACCAAAGGGTTTGAGACCTGCTGACCCATGGAAAATATAAATATAAAAGACAAGAGCACTGAAATGTACTTCATATTATTTTATACTAGTTTTTTATACTAGGTTCATATTAGTTTTATACTAGTAATTTTATAATCCTAAGTGGCTTTCTTCATGATTGGCTATCACCTTTTATAGAAATTATTTTAGGGGGTATCCCCAACTTGGTGGACAATAGGGCTATTATACACAGCAAAGCCGGTGGAGGAGAGAAAACATGTGGTGCCTGAGGTCAAACGTGGGGCCTTCTACATGCAAGACATGTGCCCCACCCCTTTTGGCTATATTCCTGGCAATCTCACAAAATTTTCAAGTGAGTTAATATAGATCATATATTTACATATATTATATGCATGTGTTCATAATTATTATACAAATATTACATAATCTATGCATATGTAAATGTCACACATGTTTAAACATCAAACAAAACATATTAAAAAACAAAAGATCAAACTTCACAGTAAGCGATCTAAAGTAGTCCAGAAAGATAGCTCAATGGGCAGAGCACATGCTTTGTAACAGGCAGCCTGGCCACCCCTGCACTAACCCCCAAGTACCACTCTTTGTGGCCCAAGAATAAGAAACAATAGTAATAACCTACAGTAAAACAACTAAAGAGTAAAAAATGCTAATTTGATGCATGGATAATTCTACTCTTTTGGTTTAAATTGCAACAGTCTATACTTGAGTACTTCTTTTCTCTTCCTTGGGTATTTAAAAAAAAAACCTAACTATAATTTACGTAAGTCTATTTTTCATTAAGTGTTCCTACTTTCACTTTATTACCCAGTTGAGTGCATAGGAGTCTGGAGTAATTTTCTTTGTATCAAGCAAAGAACAGAGCTCAGGCTCATGGTACTGGATGAGTAATCGGAAAAGATGAAATGGCCTCCCCTTCATGGAACAATCCCTAGAAGAGAAAAAAGGTTTCTTGATTAATATGTTAGAAGCAATGATGTCAATAACCAATCCTCCTGAAATGTCCACATACTCTCCTCAGCCCCAGAACACCCAAACGCCACAGGATAAACTATAAGGCCACCTGGTCGACCCAGGCAGAACTCTCTTGCTAACACCTTCAACAGGTTTGTCTTATCAGGAACTTGTCTGAACAGCAGGCACACAGCCTCTTTGGAGGGCTTGTCTCCAGATGAAACCAGGCAGCATGCAAGTGGAAGGGCCCAAGGCCCCGCTGAAAGAGCACGGACGCTAGCTCTGCTGACTACTAGTGCTGACGCTCCCAAATCTAACTGCTCACTAAAATCTCCTGAACAAATTAAAAAAATATGGAAGCGAGTCTCATTCTCACATGACATATTGTCGTGGTTATGGTCTGGTCTAAAACATCAACAGTTAGAAAGATGATAGGAATTTTATTATATTTTTTTTGTAGGAGTACTGCTGTTTATTCAGCCACTGATTAGCTGATTGAATTGTCCATGAACTCCACCTTTTTTTTTTCATTTTTTATAATTTTATTTATTGAATCACCGTGAGAGCAGTTACAAAGCTTTTGGGTCTAAGTCTCGGTCATACAATGAAACACCCGTACCTTCACCAGTCCCCATTCTCCACCACCAAAAATCCCAGTATACCCCCATCTCACACCCTCCCCGTACCTATGGGGCAGATGATTTCCACATTACTCTCTCTCTACTTTGATCACATTCAATATTTTGACACCTGACCCACCATTATTATTTGAGATTTTACCCCAACACTCAGATCTGCTGAAAAGGCAACAATAGACAATTTGTTTTCTATTGCTGGTTATGAATAACATATGATCTTGTGTGGCTGCAGTAGGGCCATGTGGTTTTGAAATTATGAAATTTTAATACTTAAATCTGGAGGGAGTTCTGCCAAAAGCCACTGGGTTTCAAGATCTGCTCCTGAGTCTCTGGGATCATGGCCGTTGAGCAGCTTGATGGGGAGCCAGAGAGGCTGTTCGTGGGTGATATGACTTGGGGTCTCGTTGGGGTGGGGAGGACAGGCCTGGCTCCACCCCATCCCGTGAGGCCCAACAAGTTTCATCACTGCAGGCCCAAGCCTGACTGTCCAATGGCCTCTGGAGGATGACAGCCACCAAGCCGCCAAGAGGGAGCAGGCGGAGGGAAAACACCCTTTCCTCCCTGGGGTGGCCCGGCGACAGTAACGTACTGTGGGGTCCGGACGCATTTCTGTCAAAAGCCATTGGGTTTTGAGATTCCTTTCTGAGTCTCTGGGATCATGGCCATTAAGCAGCTTGATCAGGAGCCAGAGGCCATTCGTGGGCGATGACTTGGGGTCTCGTTGGGGTGGGGAGGACAAGCCCGGCTCCACCCCCATCCCGTGAGGCCCTGTGTGTCTCGTTACTGGGGGCCCAAATCTGACTATCCAGTGGCCTCTGAAGGATGGCGGCCACTGGGCCGCCAGGGAGAACAGGCCAAGGCACAAAACCTATTCCCACCTGGGTTGGCCCAGCACCGGTAGCCTACTGCAGGGACCGGACGCATTTCTACCTAAAGCCACTGGGTTCCGAGATTCGTTTCTGAGTCTCTGGGATCATGGCCATTAAGAAGTTCAATCAGGAACCAAAAAGGCCTTGCCTCCAAGTATATAGCTGAGCCAGAAGTTGTTTGTGGATGTGTTTCCCACATACCTAACTTTTGGCCGTTTACTTTCTTGGTAAACTTTTCCCCAAGTTTTTGGGGTCTGGCCAAAGGCACAACAGCAATTTTGGGGTATCTGGAAGTCTGAAGGCGCCATCAGGCTGCTGATGCACTCGCCTCACAGGTACAAACTGACCTGATGGCGGCACCATACCCCCATTAATTAATTTTTTATGTAGGAGTACTGCTATTTATTCAGCCACTGATTAGGCTGATTGAATTGCGCATGAATTCCACCTTACTTTTTTTTTCATTTTTTATAATTTTATTTATTGAATCATCATGAGAGCAGTTACAAAACTTTTGGGTTTTAAGTCTCGTGCCCATTCTCCACCACCAAAAGCCCCAGTATACCCCCATCCCGCACCCTCCCCCTACCTGTGGGGCAGATGATTTCCACGTTACTCTCTCTCTACTTTGATCACCTTCAATATTTTGACACCAGACCCACCATTATTATTTGGGATTTTACCCCAACACTCTGGTCTGCCGAAAAGGCAACAGTAGAAATTTGTTTTCTATTGCTGGTTATGAGTAACATATGATGTTGTGTGGCTGCATTAGTGGCCATGTGATTTTGAAATTCTGAAATTTTAACAATTAAATCTGGAGGGATTTCTGCCAAAACCTGCTGGGTTCCAAGATTTGTTCCTGGGTCTCTGGGATCATGGCTGTTAAGCAGCTTGATCAAGAGCCAGAGAGGCCATTTGTGGGTGGCAACTTGGGGTCTTGTTGGGGTGAGGAGGAAAGGGCTGGCTCCACCCCCATCCCATGAGCCCTGTGTGTCTCGTCACTGTGGACTCAACCTGCCTGTCCAATGGCCTGTGGAGGATGGTGGCCACCGAGCCGTCAAGGGGGAGAAGGCGGACGGACAGCACCCTTTCCCCCCTGGGGTGGCCCAGTGACAGTAACCTACTGCGGAGTCTGGACGCATTTTTGCCAAAAGCCACTGGGTTTCGAGATTTGTTTCTGAGTCTCTGAGATCATGGCTGTTAAGCAATTATCAAACTGCTTTCCAGATCAGGAGCCAGAGAGGTCATTTGTGGGTGTGACAGGAATTTTAAACACTCTCCAGGTAATTCAAGTAAGAAGGAATGTCTGAGACCCTCTGACTATTTTGGTAAGTTTGGGATCCCAAAAGGATTCCCTGAAGAAGTCCAGGACTGTTTTCCCTGCCAATTAAAAGAACATTCCAGGAACGCTTCAGGTTAGCTCCACAGCTAATTGGGAATACCTTTCAGCAGAGCTACAAGCTTGAGAAGGCCACAGATGAACATTTTAGAATACAAGTTTCCTCCACTCTCCAAAAGCAGAATATTCCTATTTGCCATAGTTTAGTAGGTTATTGTTTTCTGGATTTATGAATATAATCACCATTATTTCATATGGAAAAGTTTTTTTTAAAACTGTTTTCCTTTTTGGGTCACAGTCGGCGATGCTCAGGCTCTGCACTCAGAAAATACTCCTGGAGGTGCTCTGGGATTATATGGGATGCTGGGGATCAAACCTGGGTTGGGAGACCTTGCCAGGGATGCTGCTGTCCTATAGTTCCATCCCCAAATATGGAAAAGTTTTAAGAGTTCCCCCGTGCAAAAAAAAAAAAAAAGTAACTTCCCAAATAATATCAAATACAAACTTCTACTTACAGACAGCGGGAGTCTGAGAGTAAAAGTCTTCCAGACTTAGAAGTTATTAATGGGGCTTCAGTACCCGGTACTCAGAGTGAATTCCTGGAGCTACCAAACACTAATATTAGTGAACAACTGTCTTCTTGCCTAGTTCCCTTGTGTTTAAAAAAGTCTGTAAAACTGTTACCATCTCCAGGGAAAGTGGTGGAAGGTATTGGACATTTTGGCAGTGGTTGCTGCAGTAATTTCATACATTAACACTGTAAGTATAACCATGTTACCTAAACTAGACAAAAAGTATTGAAAGTGGAGTACGTTGCAATTACCTGGACAGATTTTAAATGTATACCTAGGCTCTACCTAGACATTTAAACTTCCTATTCAAAATTTTAAGGACCCATACATCTAAAAAGTTATTTGGTTAAATAATCCACTTGCCCAAAGATATACAAATTGATATTAAGCACATTCATACTCATTAGCATGACTATAATAACAGCAATTACAACAATAAGAGTTGACAAGTATAAAGCACAGAGAAATAGGAATATTCACTGAGTACTGGTAGGAATGTAAAGTAATGCAGTTATTGTGGAAATTCTGGCAATTTCTCAAGAAGTTAAATGTAGACTTGCCATGTGATCTAGCAATTTATATTCCTAGATCCATACTCAAAAGAAATGAAATTATATGCCTACATAAAAATATACACAGAAAAGGGCTGGAGAGATAGTATAGCGGGGAAGGCATCTGCCCTGCACTCAGCCAACCCACATTCAAACTCCAGTATCCCACATGGTCCTCCAAGCACTGCCAGGAGTAATTCCTGTCACTGTAAGTGACCCCCCCCCAAAAAAAGTGCAAGCAAATATTTAGTACAGCCAAAATTGAACAATCCTTCAGCTACTAAACAAATAACTAAAAACAATGAAATATTACAACAATCTTTACACACTTTCCTCTAAGAAAACTTTTTTGGATCTTTTTAAATGGATTATTTAAAACAAGCAATACAAAATAAATTACTTCAGTTTTGCTTTGGGTTTCGCCCCTCTCAAAGAGCCCAGCAAGCTACCGAGAGTATCTTGCCTGCACAGCAAAACCTGGCAATCTACCTGTGGCATATTCGATATGCCAAACACAGTAACAACATGATGGAGCTGTTACTGGGCCCGCTTGAGCAAATCGGTGAACAACGGGAGGACAGTGCCACAGTGCTGCTTTGGGGGCAAGGTTTGGAGTTCAGGATGGAAACATTTGAAATATGGTGGTGGGAAGGTGTAAAATGGTGGTGGGATTGGTGTTCGAATATTAAATGTAATCAATTACTGTGAGCAACTTTATAAAAATTAAATTAAAAACAAAAATAAAGCAATGAAATATGACTCTGGAAAAAAGCAAATATGAAATAAAACGATGCCTCTTTAAAACTAAATAAAAGAAAAACACAAAAGATCACATATTATGATTCAACTTATATAAAAATATAAGTGAATCTACAGAGACAAAAAAAAAATTAATGGTCTCCCAGGTCTGAGAGTCTCTCAAAAAACGAAGCCAAATAATAACTATGGCTCAAATAACCTTGAAAATTATCTGAAACTTATACTTTATCATCAAATAAATTTTAATATAAAACAAAATAGACTTCATTTAAAAAACCGTAACAATTAATCACACCTTACCTGGGAATGTATTTATTCATGATTGCATAAAAGCAGTTGTATAAATCGCTGCGTGGCAGCTGAAGATGCACCAATGGTTTGAGAAGATGTATCCAGCTAAGGGATGTGCTATATTTAATATTACGTGATTTACAATAAAAGGTAATTACAGATTCAATATCCAAAAGTAATTCTGCTGCCTTCTCTTCTGGCACTGAAAGCTGGTCTAGAAAATAAGTATCAAAATAAAGTTACCAAGGACCTGTTAGAGCTCAGTCAAATAACTATTGGACATAATACTTGTTTACAAAGACACAATACTATATTAATACATTTACAGGATAAAAAGAACAAAATAAAACATCATAAAAGTAAATTTTTTCATATACTTTTCAGTAATAACTATTCAGTATTAGATGATTTGAAGTTGAACTTGTGTGTGTGTGTGTGAATTAAAAAAATGAATGATCTGAAGCACAGGGGTCGGAAAGGTAGTTTAATCCATATTTCTGGTAAACAAAAAAGTGCTTTCTAAACAACAGATTATCATCTGACCCATGATGGAGAGCTGCCACTGTAACTTTATCAAGGAAAGAGGAAGAATTCATTCTACACCAAATTCCCTTTTCTTGGCCCACACCAGCAAAAATATTTATGCCTTGCTTAGTAAACAAAATAATTTAACTTCAATATGAGAAAGAGAAACAAAAATAGACCAATTAACAATAGATGAACTAAAAAAGAAAAATGAAATTAATACTGAAAATGCCCTCGTGGGGTGACTGGAAACCTATGCACACATTCTTTACCACCTTCTTTTGGGGAGGCTGGGCAGGAGGGGACAGTGGTGGGAACCATGCCCAGGGTCTCATACATGCAAGACTAAGCCATGTCCCTAATCCTCCCTATAGTTTTCCTTTAGCAGATCATTATAATTTATAGATGAACTCTTTAAAGAAGACACCCTTTAATTTGAGGACTGTATACTATCATACAGATCTTTAAAAACTGCAACAAAATGCAGGGGTACACAGATACTACAGGAGCGTAGGTGCTTGCCTTGCATGCAGACTTTCTCCGTTCAAATCCCCAGCACCAAAAATGCTCACCACACACTGTCCCCCTCCATGACCCCTCCCTCCAAGCCACCAGGGCACTCCTGACCTCAGAAACATAAACAGCCCCTGAGCAGCAACAATTCTTTGTGGGACCCTTCCACCCCCAAATACAAGTGCACTGTAATGCAAAAGATCCACTGAAAACCAGGTTCTCTTTCTTGAAATATCAAAAATAATTTTTTTCATAGAATCTTTGAAGAAAAATTCTTACAACAAAGAAATTACTGTAATTAATGAGTGGCATTTTGGATTCCTCCACCCAAAAATTATTTCCAAAATTGGTCACTGTTTGAAAATAATTATTAAACTTACCAATCAACTCCAGGCAATCTTTGTGAATAGCGCTCTGTTCTGGCAAGTCTAAAATACCGTCCCATGAAGCCAAACTATCACCTTTTCCTGCAACATTTAAAGCAATCTAGAAGAAAGATTTTAAAAAAGCAACTAGTTTTACATGCTACATTTCATTCTTGAAAAATATGATGTATGCTGAAAGTAGACTTTAGACCATGACTGCCACTCAATGCCTCTTTTGCAAACCACAACACCCAAAAGGAGAGGAGAGAGAACAAAAGGGAATGCCCTGTCACAGAGGCAGGGTGGCGTGGGGGGATGGGGGGTAGGAGGGATACTGGGACCCGTGGTGGTGGAAAATGGGCACTGGTGGAGGGATGGGTACTTGATCATTGTATAATTGAAACCCAAGCACAAAAATTTGAAAGTCTACAACTGTACCTCAAGGTGTTTCACTAATAAAAATGAAAAAAAAAAAAAAGAGAGAACTATATAGGAAAAAAAAAAAGAAAAATATGCTGTAGCCTGAAAACAGTAATATTATCTACATTCCACAAACGCTGTGCCCTTGGCCATAACACAGTGAAACAGCATAGTTACTTTTAATCCCATCACATTACATTTTACAGCTTCATGTCATTCCAACAAACAGAATTACCAAAAAATGACATACTTACATATGAAAATGAATTTCAAATCAGCACCATTAATACTATAGACTAAACATCTGTGTGCCACCACCTCCTACTCCCCATTCTAAATCACGTGCTGAAGTCTGACTTCCCATGTGATGGCAACTGAACACCTTCAAGTGAGAGCTTGACATTTATCTGAAAATCATGTGAAATTATCTGAAACTTTTACCTTATCATCAAGGTATAAAAGGTAAAGGCCCTCCCGTTGATCGTCGATTTGCTCGAGCGGGCCCAGTAACGTCTCCATTGGAGACTTTGTTGTTACTGTGTCTGGCATATCGAATACTCTCGGTAGCTTGCCGGGCTCTCCGAGAGGGGCGGAGGAATCGAACTCGGGTCGGCCATGTTGGCTGCTTGTAAGGCGAATGCCCTACCGCTGTGCTATCGCTCCAAGGTATAACTTAATATAAAACAAACTAGACTTCTATTCATTTTAAAAACCATAACAAAGAAATCATATCTTATCTGGGAATGTCTTTATTCATGACTGCATAAAAGCAGTGGTATAAATTGCTGCATGACAGCTGAATCACCTCAGCACCTTTGGGAGGTGATTAGGTCATGAAGAGTGAAGGGTCCCGCAAGGGACTGTTGCCCTTATAAATGAGATGTGGGTCTCCCTGCCCCACAGAGATGTCAGGACACACTAAGGAGTAACTGTTCCTTAAATTATGGTTATTCTAAAAGTCTTGGGGCTGGAGCGATAGCACAGCAGGTAGGGCGTTTGCCTTGCATGCGGCCAACCTGGGTTTGATTCCCAGCATTCCCATGTGGTCCCCTGAGCACCACCAGGAGTAATTCCTGAGTGCAGAGCCAATAGGAACCTCTGTTCATTGCCAGGTGTAACCCAAAAGCAAAATAATAATAATAATAATAATAATAATAATACAATTTGTGGTTGCCAGAAAGGAAGGGGTGACAGAGCAGGCAAATCAGAGAAAAGGGATTCATCATGTAGTAGCACTGTAGCACTGTCCACTGTCCTCCTGTTGTTCATCGATATGCTCGAATGGGCCCAGTAACGTCTCCATTGTGACAATTGTTACCGTGTTTGGCATGTAGAATATGTCACAGCTTGCCAGGCTTTGCTGTGCGGGCGAGATACTCTGGCTCTTGGAGATAGCACAGCGGTAGGGCGTTTGCCTTGCATGCAACCAGCCCGGCCGACCCAGCTTTCAATTCCTCCGCCCCTCTCAGAGAGCCTGGCAAGCTACCTAGAGTATCTCCCCGGCAAGGCAAAGCCTGGCAAGCTCCCCGTGAAGTATTCGATATGCCAAACACAGTAACAACATGTCTCACAATGGAGACGTTACTGGGCTGGCTCAAGCAAATCGATGAACAACGGGAGGACAGTGCTACAGTGCTAATAATAATAAAAATAAAATACATTAAAAAAAATAAAAGTCTTTACCTTTCATCTTAAAAAAATAATTTGTGTTTGTTTGCTTATAGGGGCAATACCAATACCCAGCATCGCTCTGGGACCCAGAATCACTCCCTTCTGCGCTATGATGCTCTGGCCAGTGATGCTTGGGCTTAGCAGTGCTCAGGGACCATCACGGCCAAACCAGGTGATGGCTGGGTGGGAGGTGGAGTGGGGTGTGTGCTGTGACGGGAATCCCATTCATGGTCTGGCATGCTATGCACATGCCCAACACTTGAACTGTATCCCTAGCCTTCAATTCCTCATCTCTGAAACAAGCATATTAAAGTATTTTAGTAAGCCATCAAGGATCTGCTTTAACATAATCTAGTGGGGACCCAGATGTACAGGGGTGTAAGTAAGACACTTGCCTTGCATGCAACCATCCTTAAATCGATCTCTGATACCACATAAAAATGGTCCCCAGGGCACCACCCTGAGCATAGAACCAGAAAGAGGCCCTAAGTACCACCAGAAAGGGGCCTAAACTACCCTCCCCCAGAATAAAATTTTAAAACCCAGAGGAAACTAACAAAAAGTGTATCCCTTGCCTTATATGCTGAGATCTGGGTTTAATGCCCAGCACTACAAATAAAACTCCAGCAAAGTAGAATAAAATAATCCAGAGGGTGGGAGGTAGGAATGGTGATACTAAGAAAACAACTGGCCAACTGCTCCTATCAAATTTAAGTGACAGCTGCATGGGAGTTCATCACACAAATCTTTTTACTTTTGTGTCTTTTTTTTTCTTTTTTCTGGGCCATACCCACTGTACTAGTTAAGAATTTACTCCTGATAGGGCTTGGGGGACGAGACAGGGTACTAAGGATTGAACCAGGACATGCAAGGCAAGCACTTTACCCACTGTATTATCTCTCCAGTGCTTACTTCCGTATGCATCTTAAAGTTCAATAATAAAACATTCAAAATGCTACGCACTACTATAATTCCATTTCAGCTATACTAACTGAAGTAGTGTACAGGATAAGAAGCAAAAATAAGCACTATATGTGACAGATGACAGGTGATCTTTATTACCCTCTGCTTTGTTATATGTTTTCAAAAATAATAATAATACATGTGCACTAGAGAACAGTTGAAGAGGGAAATGAAATGAAGAAAAATACTTTAATTATAAGACCCAAAGATCTATTTCTTGTCTCCTTTCTTAAAAATCACTAAAGTAAGTCTATAGCTACAACTATACACTCTATTTGGTCAATGGTTTAGTCTCCATTTTCACTAAACAATGTTAATAAACATTACTTCCAATGGCTACCAAGAAAATCCTGCCTTTCAAAACTTAAATTAATATCCTAAATGCTACTGAAACACAATCTAGTTAAGTTGCTCTGTTTGATAAACTTTCTAAATGTGCATGCTATCATATGGTAACAAAACATCCTACAACGAGAAAAAACTAAAAATAGACATTTTACAATATTATTATTATTAAATAATTTCATTTTGAGTTGCTGGTTACCTTCCAGACTTTGGCCCTCAGGTCAGCAGGCAGGGTTCTCCCCTGAATTATATTTCTTAAAGTTTCAAGATCACAGCCACCAGCCTCCAGAGCTTCTTCAAGATCTTTTTCCCTAATCAAAACAAACAAAAAGAAAATTCCTATTAACTAAGAGAAACTCTACTTGTCACATTTTATATTCCGGATTCATTTTTAAGTATAGTCTACATGATGCTGTGTCTAAGAAAAACATAATGCCAAGGTATTTTGCTTTCTTAAAAGGGAATCTCAGGTTTCATTCAGTTTACTCTCATTCTGTATTTAGTTCTAAAAAAACACAGTTACCTGTTTTCAAAGATTAAGGAAAACGAAAAAGAGAAAACAGGGCAAGAAGGCTGACAGTAATGACAAGCAGTGACAACAGAAGTAATTCACGGAAGTAATAATGATTCACACTTTATAAAGTATTAACTTTGTCCTATATATGAACACGGTTCCAAACTTCTTTTGTTTTGGGGCCACACCCAGCAATGCTCAGGCTTACTACTGTCTTAGAGCTCACTCTGGGGTGGCTCAGGGGACCACATGAGGTGTCATGGATCAAACTCAGATCAATCCCATCTAAAGCAAGTGTCTTACCCACTGTATTATCTCTCCAATCCCTTCTTAGAAACATGTCATAGGGTTTTCCTTTAATTCTTTTTTTTTCTTTAAGTAAGTAAGTAAAGTAATTCCTGTGACAGTTTATAGATGAAAAACTTGAAATAAGACATTAGAGGAACCTGAAAAGCTCTGATGACATCACTATTATATATGAAAGGAAAATAACACCACATCAAGCAGTTATTGCCTTACATTTAAGGTGAAAAACAAGCGTGACATCAATTTTATTTGTATTTGTATAGCACACAGTTAAAATAGTAATTAAAGGAACTTTCATATGCATGAGATCCTGGGTTTGATTCCTGGTACCACAATAAATAAGCAAAAAATGACTTACACAAAGATATGAACTGGTTTTTAGCCAGAAATAGTAATTTAAAATGCCAAATTCCCCCAAGAACTCTCAAAAGCTCTATACAATTGTCAATCAATAATTTTAGTATACAATAAAAAAATAAATAAAATTCATAACTCAGCCAATTTCTAAAATTCTAAACTTAGCAGCCTGAAAACCAGAGTATTCCGTTCTGATCAGAAAGCCAAGTTTTTGTCACATTTCTGTGGTTTTAAAGAAAATAAGTTAGACCCATACTAATTCTCTCCAAAAAACTATGTAAATCTCTTCCCTACTGACAGGATTCCAAAAATATTGGTTTAAATGTATAAATTGCCTAAGTTACTGCCCTCCTGAGAAAGCAATTCAATAAAAATGTAACCATTTGGGACTGTATGGTCAACAGAACAGTAGTAATTATATTTGAAAGATTTTATAACAAAATTATTATAAATTCCTATGACTAAAGAGAGATCCCAGTACCTATGAGTCTTCATTTGATATATGGACAAAGACTTTAATAGAGGTATAAAAACTAAATCGTCTTCTGCAACCCACTGCTCTGTTTGAGTTGAGACAGATAAGAGCATGATATATATATTTTAAAAAGAAAACTAGTAACCATATAAAAATATTTTTAGTAAGATTTTTGTTTGGGGGCCAAAACAATCATACAGCAGACAGAGTGCTTGCCTTGCATGCAGCCAACCCATGTTCAATCCCTGGTATCAGATATGGTCCTTGAGCCCTTTAGAAGTGATCCCTGAGCAGATCTTGGAGTAAGGCCCAAGTTCAGCTGGTTTGGCCCCAAAATAAAACAAAATTTTGTTCTGCTTAGACCCATTTCTACACTCTATTCTGGCTAACATGTACCAGATAGCCAGTTTGAACTTGAAAGATAGTTTGTAACCATGAAACAAATTAAGAAAACTATGAAATCATTTAAACTGGAATTAATGATTGAAAAATCAGAACTCACCCAATCATACTCCATTGGACACATGATTTGCTTCTCAATATTAGATAACTGCACGTTCAAAGTAGGGGAGAAATCTTTTCTTAAAACAGAGGTTTTAAAAATATTTGAAGGGGCTGGAGCAATAGCACAGTGGGTAGGTCGTTTGCCTTGCACACAGCCAACCCTGGTTGGATTCCCAACATCCCATATGATCCCCTGAGCACCGCCAGAGGTGATTCCTGAGTGCAGAGGCAGGAGTAACCCCTGTGCATCACCGGGTGTGACCCAAAAAGCAAAAAATAAATAAATAAATGTAAAAAAATATTTAAACTGGAATCAGTAATTCCAGTTTAAATGATTACGCATGTAAATTACAAACACCGACTGAGTTGGAATTATTTTATCACGTAATTAAAACAGCACAATTTCTTCTTTCCCCCTCCTCCTCCTCCTCCTCCTCCTCCTCCCTCTTCTTTTTCTTCTTTTTTTTCCCCAGTGGAAAATCCTTGGTTTCTTTTTGAAGTACTTTGTCAAAGTCTTGACTATTCCAGACAACAAAGTTCGTTTGGGGCAAAGTACCCAATCCTAAAAATACTTTAAAAATCCTAACAACGTATAAACATATCTCTGTTGACACAGCTGCTTTGGATTCTTTGATGCTGTCACCGGGACATCACAACTGTGCTGGGCTCAAAGGAGCCAGAATGCCTTTGGAGAAACATAAATGCTCGAACTCACCTAGTAAAAGGCCCCTCTCAGAAATTCAATAATTTTTAAAGGTAAAGCTATGTTTTCAACAAAATGTTCCAAAGGTTGATCATCAGGTCTTCTGCAGACAGGACAAATGTGGTAGTCAAAAGTGGTAAAAGAGCTGAATACAGTGAAGTCAAGTCATCATAAAAGGATGACATTCCTAACAAAAGACATAAACTCGATGGCTTGCAGATTTTCCTTCTTCTAAACCAGTGTTTCTCAACCTTTTTTCAACCATGATCCTCTTCAAACCTTGTTTCCTGTGTATCCCATTTGTGTACCTTTTCACCTTGTCTACCTTGGAATATATCCTGGGTAGGGCATGGGTGGGGTGTGGTAAATCTGGGATGACGGGGTATGGGGTGGGGGGTGCAGGTGAAGTGAGCAGCCCATGTGAAATTGGAGGGTGCTTTTGCTTATTTGCTCCAGAAGGTAGACTTTGAGAGGGCACTGATTTTTGTTTTACTGTAAAGAGAACAGTAGGTCAAATAAATTTGGAAACTCTGTTTTAAAAAAAGATTCTCTATATTTAGTCTACTTTGCACAGAGGATTTAGAAAGGAGCAGATCCAAAGCTTTGGTATTTGAATGATGCAGAAATCTTTTCAGTGTAGTTACACTGAAACTGTAAGCTGTGTTAGAGTAGTACTACTACAGATTTCTGATTTTCTATGTATGACATCTTTTCAAAACCTATCTAAAGCCTAAAGAATTTCCCCTTACCTGATGTTCTGTGGCCACAACACCTAATACAAGCATGGTAACGTACATTACTTTTGAACTGCAGCAAGACACTGTGAGTAAACCTGTTAGAAATTTAGTGTTCATATTCAAGTTAGCAAATGAATCAAATTTTTCTTCCTCAACCAAATGAGTCCTCTATCTAGAACATGAATGCACTTGTATAATGCAACCTAAGGGGAAGCATACATTTTTAAGTACTATCAAACTAGGCATTTCTAAATGCTTCTAGAACTAATAAATTTAATTTGGAAACTTCTGAATTTCATAGACTAGTAAGTCTTTGAGGTGACCCTGGCTTAAATCTCTAGCACGATACTGGTCCCTGCTGAGCAATGTGTGGGGTCCTCCTGAGCACAGTTAGGAATAACCTCTGAGCCCAGCTGCTGTGATCTCTAAACCCAGTCCTTCTCTCCTGAAAGTTGCAGAAAATGTACCACTAGGAAAAAATAAATACCACATCGTTCATTCCTCAGTTATTTGTTATTTAGATACTTAATATATTTTTCATATTAATCTTCCCCACTTATCTGAATACAAAAATGCCTGGGGTTATAAAATAATCAATAAACATTATTTAGTACAATCCCCAGGATATGGAAACAACCTGAATGTTCAACAGCAGATGAATTGATAAAGAAGTTATGGTATGACATACACAATGGAATACTACATAGCTATAATAAGGACGAAATCTTGCAGTCCGCTGCATCTTGGACAGAACTGGAGGGTATTATGTTAAGCAAAGTAAGTCAGAGGGAAAAAGGACAAATACCAGACATTCACACTCATCTGTGGTATACAAGCAAAATAAAGGAATGACCAACCCTTGGCATCAGATTACAAAACTCAGATTACCATCAGCTTGAGGAGGGATGCCTATTATGCCATTAACTAGAAGTAACACAAGGACAGTAGTGGAGGGTCTTGTGCAGTTTGGTGTCCCTGAGGAGCAGTGACTGTGCATATCAAAGCCGTAAGTGTTATAGCCATGTTACCTGAACTACTAAAAAAAATAAAAATTACTACGTGCAAAAGTCAATACTTGGGGCTGGAGAGAGCATAGTGGGAAAGGCACATGTCATGCACACAGCTGACCTGCGACCACACACATATGGTCACCCAGACCCCACCAGGAGTGAGCCGTGGGTGCAGAACCAGGAGTTAGTCCTAAGCACTGCTGCTGTTGCCCTAAAACAAAATTAATTGATTAAAAAGTTAATATGTGCCTTGAACAAGAGAAAGAAGAGGGGACAGAGACTTTCTTACATTGTGTCAGTACAGCTTGAGTGTATTTGTAGCACATGATATTCATATATAGTGCTTGAATTATTTACGGTTGTGTTTATGGATCTGATCTTGACAATTATTCCCTTCAAGTAATAATGAAGAATGATTCATTCTTCATTGATTCATTCACAGCATGTTCAAAGCAATGCCTATTATTAACTATGAAAAACTATAATGTACCAGTCTTAAAATGAGGGAGTGATTTAAATCAGCAGATGGATAATTTTGAACTATGAAAACCAGTGACATGGAAAGATGATTAAAATATTAAGGACATGTAGTATTTTTAAAAGTAGTTTTAAAATTAGCATACAAACTTTTATTTAAAAAATTTGCACACAATTATAAATATTTAAAAGAAAAAGCATTCTGGGTTCTCTTTCCCACACACTGGA